CCTGGGCCTGACCAGGACTTCCCCAGAATAATTCATTCCTCAACTTTGATTGATGTCCTCTTCACCCCACCTCTCCTCCTCTTAGAATCCAGTCCACCCTCTATGGATTCCAGACTTTTCCAACTTGGCATGCCTCCTCGTCTTCCATTGAGATAACATAAATAAACTATTCTTTAATATTTATTATCAAAGTACAAGAAAGGAGATAAGGGTGATGGCATTGCTATGACCTAAGCCCAGTGTAGTTCAAACTCACAGTTACCCTCAGTATTTTGATTGGCTGGTTGATTCCGTCTTTGATTGGTTCACTGATTTAGCTGTCCATCCGTAGATTCAACAAGCATTACTGAGCATCTGCGTGCACCAGACACGATGGAAGGTGCTTGGGTGCCAGAGATGACCAAGATAGAGTCCCTGTCCTTCGAGCTCCCCATTGAGCCTTCGTTCCTTACCTTGTCTCATATTCCGGAAGGCTGTGGTCCTCAGGATGTACTGCTCCCTGCTCAACCCCAGGCACCCCTGGGGCCTTCAGTAAACATTTCTAAACTCAGCACCTTAGACAAGCAGCTGCATCCTCATTCCCGGCTCTCAGGTGACTCCTCCTCATGCAGGTGGGGAGTCACGGGTCTCACCCAGCACATGATATTTGCAGGTGCTGAGACATTCTACTCTGCCTCTTCCTCCTAAAGTTCTTGTGAGGATTTACAGGGCTCTAAACGTCATGACGGAGATACGGGCCAGGCCAGGCCAGTCTGAGTGCATGAGGCCAGCCACACCTCCATCCACTGCCCTCCCAGCTTTGCATTCCCCTCCCGCTGGCCACCTGCCCACCTTCATGTGCTGTGTCTGTTGCAGCGGACAAGGCCATCTCCATGCTTCAGGGACTGTGCTACCGGTCGCTGGGGCCTGGCACCTGCACCCTGCCTTTGGCCCAGCGGATCACCAAGCAGATATGCTGCTGCAGCCGTGTGGGCAAAGCATGGGGCGGCGACTGTGAGAAATGCCCTTTGCCTGGCACAGGTAACCCCCGTCTCCATCCGGGCTTTCACTCCCTCAAGGCCAGTAACCATGTTGCCAGCCTGGGTAGACCTCCCTGAAGCTGGAAGACTGAAGTATTCTTCCCTGCCTGTTTACTTGCTTACTCCAACTTGGGGCTCCCTTCCTCTTTGCTCCCACAATTGCCCTGTCTCCCAAAGGAGGGAAAGGAGGGCCCTGATTTCCTGCAGGAACAGCACCTCTCAGCTTGTCCTCTGACTGTTGCCTTTGCAGAGGCCTTCAGAGAGATCTGCCCCGCCGGCCACGGCTACACCTACGCCAGCTCTGACATCCGCCTGTCCATGAGGAAAGCCGAGGAGGAGGAGCTGGCCAGGCCCCCAAGGGAGCAAGGGCAGAGGAGCAATGGAGCACTGCCCGGCCCAGCAGACAGACAGCCGCTCCGGCTTGTCACAGACACCTGGCTCGAGGCTGGGACCGTCCCTGACAAGGGTATCTGAGCTGGGGGAGATGCCCGAGGGATTCCCCTTTCCCCTGTTTCCAGCACCTCAGAGAACTGTGGGCATTTATCTTGGGTCCCTGGGCATCCCACCTCTGGGGCATTAGGAAAGGGAGTTTGGAGCAGCAGCACCCAGCCCTGGCAGCCTTCTCTCATGGCCTGGTACAACTGCAGGGCCCCACCTACTTCCTCTCCATATGAGGTCAAGAGACGCTCATGCCCCAGGGAGTTGCTTGTGGAGGTGGGAAAGGTCAGCCGCAGCCCCCACCCCAGCAATCAGGTCTCTCTGTCTCCTGCCCACTAGCCATGCAGTTTCTGGGGCCGGTGCTTGCTGCAGGCCTGAACAGCTGGCAGGTGGGTCCTGGGGACCTGCATGCTAGACCCCTGGCCCTGGTCTTAGAGTCAGAGTGCTAACTCAGCCCAGCGACGTTGGACTCCAGCGGCACGGGGCTGGAGGGAGGTTGAGTATGAGGCTCTCCTTGCAAGCGCCCTGAAAGCTCTGGAGAAGTCATGCCCAGGTGACTGGTAACACTGAGTTCAGGAGGCCTGGCGCATCACAAGGCCAGGAAAACTATGTGATTGCTCATATTGCTCCGGGAATCTGGACTAGACAGGGAAGTGAGGACAGAGTCCCAGTGCTGTGGACACAGGACACTGGCCAAGCCAGGACCAACTCCACTCCTTCCTCAAACTGTTCCCCTGGCCCAGAGCCCAGGGCAGGGGGCAGCATTACCCAGCCTGGCTGGGAGGCATGGGAGGGAGGAGGTAGCAGTGCAAAGAGGTGGCTCCAGGATGGCTGCGGTGGACAGGCCCGGGAGCAGGTGGGACTCCTGTCACCGGAGGCCTTACAGGAAAGCAGGGGCTTCCGCTTACCAAGTGAGAGCCTGCACTGAGCTATCTTCAGGCCCTCCAGACCTGGGGTTCTGGGATTCTGTGGTGGCTAGTCCCTGCAGGGGTGACAGGCAGAGGCAGGTAGAAGAGTCCACGCTCTCTGTGCTGCTGGCCCTGACGGGGACATGGTCCGGGTGCAGACTGTGAAGCCGCCCAAGTGGTAGTGAGGGGAGAAGGCAGCCAGACCCTCCTCCCTGAGCTAACGCCCTCACCTTTCCCTTCCAGGTGACTCTCAGGCTGGCCAGGTGAGTGAGTCCTCTCACTAGGAAGTCGGGCAAGCATGGTAGAGGTGAGGACCTGGTAGCAGCTCAGGCCCCAGGACAGTGAGAGGGAGGAAGATGGAGTGTCTCTCAGATTTTACTTGAAGAGATGACCAAGTGGGAGGAGTGATCCAAAGACCCAGTTTTACCCTAAAGGAAGTGACAGCAACAGCTCCTGTTGACGGAGTGGCCCCTGTGCAAACAGTTTCCCATTTGGGATGGGCTGGGGCCCCTTCAGAAAGGAAGTGGGAACATGTCCTGTTAGTCCTGGCCATCGCTCAAGCTTTAAGCACTGCAGATGGGGTGTAGAGCTGGTTCCAGTTCATTCTGGGTCTGTCACTTTCTGCCCTGGTTTAGTTGGACCTCAGGTCTCCTCTGCATGGGGAAGTGCGGGCACAGCTGTGAACAGCCTCAAACCACCTCACTGAGAAAGGCACATCCAACTCCCTTCCCTGTGCCCAAGATTCCCCTGGGAAAAACTGGGTGTCCTCCTAGGAAAACATTCCAGAAGAGGAGATCTGTTTCTTCCTTCATCAGCCTTAGTCCCTGCTCTGTTCCCCAACCCTCCAAATTGCATTGCTGACTGTCCCCAAATACAGTTTCTCCGAGGGGTCTTGTTCTCTCCCTGGGCTCCCATGTGATGTCCTCCCAGGCCAAAAGCGCTAACCCCGGTCCCCACGGCTGCAGCCAGGCTCCAAGGCCGTTTTCACCCTCTGCCCACTCTTCTCCTGTTGCGTCCCCACCTCTCAGCTACCTCTGTCCACCAGCCGTGTTGAGGGACACCAGGTATGGCCTGCAGTCCCAGCTTCTCCACACTGGCCCTGTGGCTCCAGGCACTCTAGTGAACCTGCAGAGCTTCTGTGACTGTGTTGAGATTAGGGGGTTATAGCTGACATCACACTTGCTAACTTTCCACCATGTACCCAGCACTGAGCTGGCACATCAGCTCATTTCATCATTTCAACTTCCCATCATAAGATAGTTGAGAAGACGAATGAAGTGAGTGGTATAAAGCGCCTGGCAGAATACCCAGCATAGAGTAAGAACTCATCAATATCAGGAAGGAATGAAAACAGTGAATGAGCCAGCTGGTAGGAAGCCCGGAAGTGGGGGTGAGCGTGGTGGAAGGTAGCATGTCGCAGGGACAACAGAGGAGCCAAAAGTGACCCTCTCCTGTTTCTGTACAGGTCACAACCAGTGTCACTCCTGCACCTGCCTGGGTCCCAGGTGAGTGTCCTTCTTCTTAGCGGCTCCCAGGCAAAAGAGAAGGGAGGGAAAGAGAGTCCTTAATCAGGAGTGGAGTTATCATGTATGAGCTGGTCTACACTCACACAAATCAGAGGAGGGTGAGAAGGATGTGGCCTGTGAGTGCTGTTTCTGGGAGCTCTCTATACACCTAAGGTGAGGTCAGTGAGAGACTCCATGATGCTTCACAGATAGTTTTCTTCTTTTTTTGAGATGGAGTTTCACTCTGTCACCTAGGCTGGAGTGTGGTGGTATGATCTTGACTCATTGCAACCTGTTTCCCAGGTTCAAGCAATTCTTAGCCTGTTTCAGCCTCCCCAGTAGCTGGGACTACAAGCGTGTACCACCACGCCTGGCTAATTTTTGTATTTTGAGTAGAGACGGGGTTTTACCATATTGGTGGGGCTAGTTTCGAACTCCTGACCTCAGGTGATCCGCCTGCCTCAGCCTCCCAAAGTGCTGGGATTACAGGTGTGAGCCACCACGCCAGGCCATCACAGATAGTTTTCTAGCCACAGAACTCTTTGTGAATTTCATGGCACCACTTGGCACATAAATCAGAACAAAGAGACAGCACTAGCTATAAGAGGTGGTCGGCTGGGTTGCTAGACTCCTCCCAGGAGGCTTTGTCTTACCTCCTAAAACCGCTACTTGCCTGCCACTGGTGTTGGGTTCAGACATTGGAAGGCTGAGCTCATGGTTCCTGTAAAACAGAAGACACTGATGCCTGTCTTGCAGCATCTCAAGGCAAATAAGATGTTGGTATTTGTGGCAGAGCTCTGTAAGCTGTGAAACGCTTCGTCAGCAGAAGGGAAAGAATGTTGAAGTGCAAATCAGGAGACCCAGGTGTCTGGCTGGCCTTGGACAAGTAGCCATTTCTGCAAGCCTCAGTCTCCTGTGCCTGAAATGGAGGATTGGGCTAGATGTCCTCCAAGGCCTGTGAGAGCTCTGAGATTCTCTAAGTGGGGCCAGATTAACTTTCAAGAGACTGGAAGGCATGGGAGTGACCCACCCAGACTTCACCCTTCGGTCTTGGGAGTCTGAGCAGCAGGGAAAAGGGAGGGGCCACGGTCAGCCAAGGGGCTGACCCACCTCTTCTCCTCTCTCCTCCGCAGGGGATGCCACAACCCCACCAATGCCTGAACAGGGAATTCCAGAGATACAGGAAGAACAAGTGACCCCCTCCACCACTGTGCTGGTGACCCTGAGCACCCCAGGTAGCTGCAGCCAGCCCTTTGGGGCTCCCTGTGCCCTGCTCTGAGAGCCATGGCTGTCCAGAGCCAACTCCGGGGTGGGGGCATGAGTGGAATGCCCCTGGCCTTTCCAACTAAGTGAAGTCTCCAGCAGGGTCCTGGCCGCCCTCTGCACCCCGGCCTCATCTTACAAAGAGCACAGGGTCCCTCTAGTGAAAGCGAGAGCCCTGTCTGGAGCACTGTCCAAGCCCAGAAGGGGAAGAGAAGGGACGCCGTGGGAGAGGGAAGCCAGGGGTCTTCCAGGAGAATCTGGGGTCCCTTTCGAAGAAGGGGAACATGGAGAGTGTGGTCCGCTGGGGTCCTGGCTCTTCCAGGCCACCCCTCCCCCAAGTCAGCAGAGTGCCCTGGCAGCGAGCAGCTGCCTGCCCACGGGAAGGGCTGATTTTCGGGAAGGAACATGGCTCTGTTTCTCAAGATTGTTAAACAAGCCTGCATTCCTCTCCCTCTGGTCAGCTACAGTGATGGGAGTGAGGGGCGGGCGTGGAGGCGATCCTGGCAAATCCACCTTGCTCTGGAATGTGCCCTCCTTAAAGGCTCATTGTCTGGGGACTTGGTGCCAGAGAAGCAAGGCGGGTGTTGTCGCCGCCGTTCCCTGCACACAGTGTGTGCCCGTTCTGGGGGCTCCTGCTCTCTTAACCTCACAACTGGATCCAGAAACCCAAGTCACCTTGGGTGGGGGTGAGGGTAGTGGTGGGGTTCTAAATTTCTTCCAGCAAAGGGAAAGCCCCTGCAGCCTGGGAGAAAGTCCAGAGAGTGGGGAGCAGGGGTTCAGCCTTCCCAGGTGTACCCCACTGACCTCTCTCAGGACCTCTCTCCTCGGGGCTCAAGGTGCTGCTCCAGGGAGCGTCCTCTTCTGTCCTCTGCTCAGCAGGCAGAGTGCATGGAGGAGTGCTGAGTTTCTGACAAGGAAAATGGGTGTGGAGGAACGGATGGGTAGCTGGGCCAGGGGCAGGGGGCAGGGGACAGGCCAAGCTCAGCAGCAGCTCTTGACGTGTGAGTGAGTGTCTCTACCATCACCGCCAGCCTCAGCCTTTTGCCCTATCCCCCTTCTCCTCTGCCATTCTGTAACCCCATCCCTCTGGGCAGACATTTAAGACCAAGCTGAGGGCCCCTACCGCCCTCCAGGTGGACACAAACTTGAAGCTAGGCCCAGGGAGAGGGTAGACTTGGGCACACATTCAATTCAGTACAATTTGGCAGACTAAGCCCCCTGTATACCCACATACAGACCGCTTCCCAACTCATTCCCTTGGGCCTTCAGGTTCTCCTGAGCTGTCGGGGCAGGGCAGGGAGCCCTGAGCATGTGGGCTTCAGGCAGAGACTTCAGGTTGGACACAAAGGCAGAAGGCATCATTCATTCATTCATTCATTTGGCATGTTCTAAGTGCCAGTGAGTCTGCCTCCAAATTGTTTCTCAATTCTGCACCTGTCTCCCCACTTTTCACCTCATCACCACTACCCAAGGCAGACCCTCATTTAAATTATTCAACAGGTTTTAAGGGCCCACTACCTCTCCCATATCAGTTCATCCATCATCTCACTGCCTGAGTGCCCTTTCTAGGACTGCTCTGACCCACTCCCACCTTTCACCAACAGCCCTGTTACAGGCCAGTCTCAATGTGGCATTCAAGGCTTGCTCAGTGGGCCCCAGCCCACCTCTCCCATTTCGCCCGTGGTTTTCCCCATGCACCTTATTCACCAGATCCGTCCATCTGTCCAGGGAAAACTGGGCAGGAGTTACAAGGAGGGATGGCACTGGGCACTGGGCACTGAGTAGGAGTCGGGCCCATTTTTGGGGTGGGGCCAGGTTGGAGGGTTTTTGCAGAAATTTGCTGGACATATGGGTGACCTATTAGATCTCAGTGAGGAGAATGCCCTACCTTGAGCTCCATCCTGGGTAGGGGTCCCGGGCAGAGGTCCTCTGGGGTCTTATGCAAAGCTAAGCTGTGCATGGGTATGGGAGGGAGGGCCTGGCTAAGGTTGGCCTTCTGAGGCCCCTAGACCCTGGCCACCAACTCTCCTGCACCACACTCCACTATCCAGCACCTACCCTGCCATAACTTCTGCTTTGCTCTGTCTCCCACAGACATTGACAGATGTGCTACTGGAGACACCAACATCTGTGGCCCTGGAACCTGCGTGAACCTCCCAGATGGATACAGATGTGTCTGCAGCCCTGGCTACCAGCTGCACCCCAGCCAGGCCTACTGCACAGGTATTCACTTGGGTGCCCTGGGCTTACTTGGCGGCTTGGGTAGATGGGAGCAGGGGCTAGGAGGCTGAGTTGAGAGTCCAGGAAGAAGCAGAAGGTCCAAGCAGTGCTGGGTGGTCAGTGAGTTTAGGAGTGCGGTTCCTATGGACAAAGCTAACGTTAACCTTCAGGGGAAGACCAGTCTCGGTGAGCCCCATCCGATGAGTCTCCAGGACTCCAGGAGCATGGAAGCCACCCCACTGCATGCACCCTGACCTGTGCCTGGCAGCTGTCTGCACTGAGATCAGCCCACACCTCAAACTGGCCATTTTGCTGCCTGCAGAGTGGACCAAGTTCTGCCCTACTTGCAAATGTCTCCACCAGGGTCATCCCTGGGGGCAGATCTGAGACTAAGATAAATCATCCCCTGTGGATGAGAGGACCTCATTCTTCCTCCCCTCACTATGTTCAAATAAGGGAGAAACACCTACTGTGGTTTCGGAGGAGAAAGGAATCATGAGGCTACTGGAAGAAGGAGACAAGGGGCAGAGAGGAGGGGCTAGCAGTCACCCCAGGCTTCTGGTGCCTAAGTGGGCTCTATGGGCTAACTTTATGGCTTCCAGCCTTAGGATTTTCATCTCCTCAGCCTCTTCCACTCCCTCACCCCTTCCTTGCCACATGGCACCGCCCCCTGCCCTGTCCTTAGTGTGGGCAGGTTGCTGGCAGGTGCCCAAAGAATGACACCACTGGCCCCCTTGACCTGCCTCCCTGTCTCCTTCTGGTCAGATGACAACGAGTGTCTGAGGGACCCCTGCAAAGGGAAAGGGCGCTGTATCAACCGCGTGGGTTCCTACTCCTGCTTCTGCCACCCTGGCTACACGCTGGCCACCTCGGGGGCCACGCAGGAGTGTCAAGGTAAGCCAAGCCCGCCCTTGCCCTTGGCCATGCCCCACAGTCTCAAGGGGATGGAAGAGGAGCCAGGGGTTCACACCCCCAAACCCCATGCTGCAGAATGGGGAGTGGGCAGCTGAGGGAGGAGAGAACAGAACTCAGGCCTGGATCTGGGCGGAAGCTAACCCTATGCCAGTGGCAAGGAGGGGTAGAAATCCAAAAGCCAGCAATCTCTGCAAAGGCCCTAAGGCATTGTAGGTGGAGCCAAGAGTGTCACAGGGTCAGGAGACATGCCTGGAGATGAGGACTAATCACCAGGCCCCCCCCCCAACCCGAACTCTGAGTGACAAGGAGCTGCTTTCATTTTAGGGAAGGAGGGAGACCCATGAGGACGCCAGCCTGGGGCTATTGGCAAACCAGGGAGTAGGTGTGCCTTTGAATGAGGAGCACGGGTTCCCAGCAGCTTGGAGACGCTCACAGGGCTTTGAACTTCCCTGGGAAGATGTGGCCCACTGCCAGGGGACTCTTGATAAATACGCTTCCAACGCAAACCCTTTAATGATGCAAAACACTCCCCATACATTTTTTTTCTACATATATTTTTATGATTAAGTTCACAAATAATATAATGCAGCAGTGCTTGCCTGCCCCCTTCCTTCCTTCCTTCCTTCTTTCTTTCCTTTCTTTCTTTCTTCCTTTCTTTCCTTCTTTCCTTCTTTCTTTCCTTCTTTCTTTCTTTCCTTCTTTCCTTATCTCTTTCCTTCCTTCCTTCTTTCTTTCTTTCTTTTTGAGATGGAGTCTCGTTCTGTTGCCAGGTTACAGTGCAGTGTTGCCATCTCAGCTCACTGCAACCTCCACCTCCCAGGTTCAAGTAATTCCCTTGCCTCAGCCTCCCAACTAGCTGGCACTACAGATGCCCACCACCACGCCCAGCTAATTTTTATATTTTGAGTAGAGATGGGTTTTCACCATGTTGGCCAGGATGGTCTCCATCTCTACCTTGTGATTCGCCCACCTCGGCCTCCCAAAGTGCTGGGATTTACAGGCATGAGCCACCGCGCCCGGCCTAATGCAGTGCTTTCTAAGCAGCACCTTAAGATTCATAACCCAGTTGTAAATCCTTCACCTCAAGAGGGGCCCTGCGAGTGCTTGGGGCTCACATTCCTGGTTCTGGCCAGACCCCCAGGGAGGCCAGGGAAGCTGTGTAGCCTCCAGCTGCCAGGATCCCCTTGGGTTCCAATGCCCCGGGGGTCCAGTGTACAGAAACCAAAACCACCCAGGTCCTCTCACTTGATTATGGAGGGAAGGGAAGTAGAAGGGGCAGACCACCTACCTTAACGGAAGAGCGGGAGAATCATGGGTGGCATTCATTGTGCTCTCACGCGTTGGGCACCTATGTGACAGGCACTGTGCCAAGCTCTGAGGATGCTGAGATGAGTGAAGTATGAATGGTGACACACTGGGATGGAGATGAGGAGGCAAGTGGTTCTGTATGAGGTTATTTGGGTGCTTGAGCTGGAGCAGAGTAAGAATAGCTACCATTTAATGAGCACTTATATGTCAGCACTGTTCCAAGCACTTAGTTACATGAAGTTCATCATCCCAACTCCATGTTGTAGAAATCCTTAGCCCCATTTAACAGTTTAGCAAACTGAGGCTCAGAGGTGAATTGAAATACCCAGGGGCCTCAAACCTAGTGGTGACAAAGCTAGAAACAGAATCAAATCACTCTAGCTCCAAAGCATGGTTTGCTTCCAAAGACACATTCCCTTACACGCAGGGTGTTGGACACCACCATGGAGCATGAATAGGAATGGAGGAAGCAGCAGGTATTCCAGGTAGAGGGAAGTGTCTCTGTAGAGACCTAAGTAGTGAACGTTTCCCGGCATGCTCTGGGAATAATGATGAATACAGTGTGACTGGAGCAGGGCTACGTGGAGGAAGAGGCCAGTGTGGGAAATGTCTCGAGTGCCAGGCTGAGGTGTTTGGATACTGTCTCACAGGCAGGGGAAGCCAGTAGAAGTCTGTGAGCAAAACGGTGGTGACTGGGTCAGCTGACTTCCAGGGAGCTGACTCAAGCGGCAGGGCTCAGAACAGGCAGGAGGAGCCAGGACAGAGGCTGAGGGAAGGGGGCTTCTCTGGGCTCCAGTGGTCCAGGTGGGTGTTGTGGGCCAGAGGCATTGTTCTTTGCAGACCTAGTCTGGGGAGCTGGACTGGGATGAGCAGCAGCTGCTGCAGGGAATGGGATCACCAGGACTGGCCCAGACGCGGGTTTCTGCCAGGGGCCAGCCTGGGTGTCCAAGATGTCTCTGCCAGCCCCAGCAGCTGGGGGACAAGGGGTGGGGCTCAAGGTTGGCTGTAAGTACTTGTGGGGCTTGGCTGCCACTTGAAGAGGCCTTGTCCCAAATAACTCCCACTTTCTAAAGTTTGCCAGTCTCATACAGTAATATCTCATTACTTCAATGATTTAATATTTATATTGATTGATTATTTAAATAATTTATATAATTAATATAAACTACTATAATTTATATTATATAAGTTAATATAAGTAAGATACATTGTGTACATATTAAATATCTAGGTAAATGTTTACCAATAGATGTAAGCATGTCTTCATCCATTAGCCTGTGGGTTTCCTCATCTGTAAACTGCTGGGTCCTATTTTTGTTCAGTCTTCCAATGGTGGTTGCTGCTTTTTCCTGGGTCTCTTTAGGAGTCCATTATAGATTGTAGATTCTTGGCTGGATTTAGAAATTGCAATGCTCCCATTTTGTCCTCTATCCTTTAAGCTTATCTACATTTCTTGGAACAGAAATTCTTAATTTTGATGTATTGAGATCCACAATTTTGCCTTTTTGTGTGTGTTTTGGGGGCTTTGTTTAAGAAATCTTTCCATATCCTGAAGTCACAAAGATATTCTCCTATACCTTGAGTTCTAGTTTTCCCTTTTATCATATGCTTTGATTCATCTGGAGTCTGTCTTTGTATGGCTGTTAAGAACCCGGTCTTTAGCTATTCACATCTCCATTTTTCTCCCTGGAGCCAGAGAGTTTTCCAAACCAACGATCAGACAGTCATCCCAGCCCCAGGGGTTAACGAGTTCTTCATCCATTCCCACACATGGCCCTGTCTATGAGTTCCCTTTTCTCTTCCATTGGGATTAGAGTTTCTCACAGTGAACACCACTTATTCCAGAATTGCCTGAAGAGTTATAAGAACGTGGGTTCCAGGGCCCACTAGTATGTCTGGGTCAGAATCTCTGGCTGTGGGTCTAGGAACGTGCGTTTCCCACCTTCTGGCGGTGACTTTGCTGTGCACTGGAGTTTTATGAAGCATTGCTCAAGTGAAGACACTGTCCATGAACAAATGATTCTGATTCAATTCCTTCAGGAAGCACTAATTGGGGTTCTGTGCTGGGCACTGGTGGCGCTGAGATAATAAGGCATGTTCCCAGCAGTCAAGGAGAGCTACAGGTACACTGAGAGCCGGGCCCTCAGGGAATGCTGGGTTAGAGATGAGTGGGAGGCAGTCATGCTGGTGGGTAGGAAGCTGCTCCAGGCAAGGGGACAGTGTGGGCAGAGGCTCAGGAACAGGTCCTGTGTGTCAAGGGTAGGAGAGGTGTGGGTGGCAGGAAACAGATGAGACGCAGGCTGGGGCCACTCATGCAATATCTCACATGCCAGGCTGAGGAGCTTGGATTTGACGGGGTTCAACGCTAGGATAATAATAGCTAAAATTTCTGCAGTGTTACCTCATGCCAGGCGGGCACGGTGCTCAGCCCCTCACCTGGATTATCGTATTTAATCTGCACAAAGACTCTGTGACGTGTCCATATCGGTCCCAGTTTAAGGGGGAGAGTGGGAAGGTGAGGCCTTGATTGATTTGACTGTGGGGACAGGGAATGGGGACCCACAGGATCCAGAGGTGACGCATTTCATCAGTCCTTGAAATGGAGGCAGGGATTTGCTGGCCATCTTGAGGAAAGAGACATCACGTAGAAGTATTTGTGTGAACAAAGGCTTGGAGGCTGGACCACTGAAATCCGTAATAGCTGATGCTATACCAAGGGACATGTGTGAATTAGCAAACGCAGCAGAGCTGGGCCAGGTGGCAAAGGACTTGTGAGCCAGGCTGCAAGCAGGACTGGAGTTAGCGGGGGTCTCTGGCAGGAGTTTAAGCACGGGAGTGGCCTGAGCACAGTTGGGCGTTACAGGCATCACGGGACACCAAAATGACTGAAACCACAGCCTACAGATCCGTGGCTGCCTAAAATGCAATCCCTCACTGGCTGCTTGGTTCCTAACCTTTAAAAAGATCCTTAGGAAGGACTCCAGGAGGCCGGGCACAGTGGCTCACACCTATCATCCCAATACTTTGGGAGGTCAAGGCGGGTGGATCACTTGAGGTCAGCAGTTTAAGACCAGCTTGGCCAACATAGTGAAACCCTGTCTCTACTAAAAATACAAAAAATTAGTGGGCACCTGTAATCCCAGCTACTCAGGAGGCTGAGGCAGGAGAATCACTTGAACCCGGGAAGCAGAGGTTACAGTGAGCCAAGATTGTGCCATTGCACTCCAGCCAGGGCAACAAGAGCAAAACTCTGTCTCAAAAAATAAATTAATTGATTAAATTAAATAAAAAAGGAAGGACTCCAGGAGCAGACCCAAGGGGGATGTAGCGGGGCCAGGAGCGGGTGGGAGTCCTGTCGGCCTCTGCAGGTCATGCCATGTGGACTGCTGCCCCACCTCCAGACCAGCCCTTGCATGAGGGTGAGGAAACTGCTGTAAGGATCCCCACAGGCCCCCAGAGTAGCCTCCCCTGAGAGAAAGGAACTCAGGGCTAGCAGGGGCCTGAGATAGATCAGTCCCAGACCTGCCCCAGGAACCTCTCCAGCCAACTGTGGCTGCAGCAAGGATGCCTTCCTCCCCCAGGCCTCAGCGTGGCATCCTTTGTCCTTGGCCTCTGGAAGGCATGCTCCAGGACCCCGCCCCCTCCACCATCCTCTGGGGCTGGCTGTGACTCAGGACTTTTCTGTGTGTTCATAGATATCAATGAGTGTGAGCAGCCAGGGGTGTGCAGCGGGGGCAGTGCACCAACACCGAGGGCTCCTACCACTGCGAGTGTGATCAGGGCTACATCATGGTCAGGAAAGGACACTGCCAAGGTAAGGAACGGGAAGGAGGGAGGCCGCCTGCCACCCCACCCCACCACCCGCCTGTCCTTCCCCATGCACCGCCCACCACCAGCACGCCTTCTAGCTTGTGCCCTCCCCGGCCCCTTGATACTGAGCCCACACCTATGGACAGAGACACGTAGGAGAATTCCTGAGTCCTTCCATTCCCTCAGTGATACTCTGGCACCCTATCTGCCTCCTGCAGCAGGGAGGCATGAATAATTTCATCTACATGACACCTTTGGAACATGTCTGTACACTTCTGCCTTCTTGCCTTGAAAAATATGCTCTCCTCATGGGGCAGAGAAAGAGTCGGTGTGTCTGGGAGTGTCAGCCTTCTTGTTAAGCTTGTTAGATTGTGAGCTCCTGAGGGCTGGGCCATATCCTTAGACGGCCCACACATGGATACCTGATAAGCACCCAACAAATGCTAGAGGCAGGAAGGGAGGAAGGGAAGGAGGAAAGGAGAGAAGGAGGGAAGGAGAGAAGGAGGGAAAGAGAGAGGGAGGGAGGGAAGAGGAATGAGAAGGAGAAACCCCAGATCCTTCTGTCTTTCCCAGACCCAGCTAAAAGGCACTGTGACATTTCTAACTGGCCTCACAGACCTCTCCTGTCTGGTGCCAGCTCTGAAGACCCCTGGCAGCTCTGCCACCACCATGTCCCTGACAGGCTGGGGTGTCACAGGCTTGCAGGAGGCCCAGGGCATGTGCTCTCCAGACTGGCTGGGACAGGGAGAAATGAGGGTAAATCTAGGCACTGTCTGGGAAGAACCCGGCCCTGGGTCCAAGCTTAGGCTGAGACTCCTCCCAGCCTCCAGGTTTCTCTGGCCGAGATTTGCCAGCTTTCAAAAGAGCCTAGAAGTCAGAGAAGAGCTTGTGTACTTTGTGAAAGGAGAGCCTCCCTTCCCAATGCCACTACCGTGGAAGAAAGTCCAGAGAAGCAAAGGGGAGAGGTGGCAGCAGGTGCATGACGGACAGCTCTGCCTTCAGCTCCAGCATGTCACCTCCCAATGCCTCCCTCTTTGTTCTCTCCCTTTAAAACTCAGGCCTACCCATGACTAAAGCCAGAACCCACCCACCTTGTCCTCCTTAGCACAATGGAGACAAAACAGCTGGCATTTTCAGGAGAACAGAGAGTGATTAGCACTCACCACTGACAAGTGCCTTCTATGTCCCAGGTGGCTGGGCTAGGTCCTCGATAGATTAACTCATTTAGCGTCACAATGATGCTATGAATTTGACGTTAGACTTTATCAAAAAGAAAACAAGATGAGAGGAAACCAAAAAAAATACCAGAGCATTAAAAACATCAGGTTTAGGCTGAGTGCTGTAGCTCACGCCTGTAATCCCAGCACTTTGTGAGGCCAAGGCAGGTAGGTCACTGGAGGTAAGGAGTTCAAGACCAGCTTGGCCAACATGGTGAAACCTACCAAAAATACAAAAATTAGCCAGGCATGGTGGCACATGCCTGTAATTCCAGCTACTCTGTAGGCTGAGACAGGAGAATCACTTGAACTCGGGAGGTGGAGATTGCAGTGAGCCAAGACCATGCCACTGGACTCCAGCCTGAGCAATAGAGTGAGACTCTGTTTCAAAAAAAAACCATCAGATTTATGTTAACCAGTCCGTGTTAAGGGCACAGGCTCTGGTGCAGACAGGCTTGGGTTTGGCTTTTGACATGATGTCTGGAAATGGAAACTGTGATGCCCATCTCAGAGATTTTTGTGAGCACCAGATAAGCTAATGTGTACAAAGTGCTAGGCACTGTCTGGCACATACAGACCCTGAGTAAGTAGGGTCAAATGTTACAGTCAGAGCCAAGTTCTTTTTTACGTCCAGGCTCCCCCCACCCCAGCCCTCTCCTTCCCTTCCCCAAGGAAAGGTTCTAGACACACACCTCATCTGGGAGGTCAGGCAGAGTTCCTGGCCCAGGGCAGACACTATGAGTCTGTTGAAAGAAAGAATGATGTAGCCTGCACACTTCTCCAGGTTTCCATCGGTAACCACAAACCCGGCTCATCACCCTGGGAGCCCAGTCAATTTCCTCTCCCTCTTTCTTCTCTCTCCAACTCAAAAACCACTCTCTCCACTGAAACTGAAAGTCTCTGGTAAAAGGCTGAGTGGTCTGGACAGAGGCCCGTCCAGCAGTCTCAATGGCATTTCCGTCGTACCGAGACTCCAGGTTCCCACGGACGGGGGATAGACTTCCCTGCAGACTGCCAGGGCCTTTGGTGTTGCCCAGCCACAACCAAAGTCACCTGAGCTTCTGGCCCCTGCCTGAATGCCTTCACCACCCCCACCCCATACCCTCACAAGCAGCAGAGGTGAATACTTTTACGTTTCCTCATCCAAAGGCTGATCCGTGGTTAGAGAAGCTCCAGGATCCTCCCGATGGCAGCTTGGCAAGCTGGTCTCTGGAGTGGCTGTTTCCATGGGCCCTTTGGGGTCTCTTCAGCAGCCTTATATCAAAAAGATGAAGGATGAGGTTTGAGGCACGCTCTCCCACTCTTTGGTCAGCAAACGTTTGTGGAGCACCAGCTGTGTGTCAGCCATGGGCTAGGAACACAGCAATAAGACAGATGACTCCTCGCTTCGAAGACCAGAGCATTAAAACCCTCCAAAACACACTGTAATCTCAGATTAGCATTCATACCCTAAGCCAGACAGGAAAACTGGAATATTTCTGGATCCAGTGACTGGCTCCAGTCCAGGCACCAAGAGGCTGGTGGGATAGCCTCAGAGTAGCTGGTGACAGAATCGGCTTCATTCAGAATCTTCCTCTGGTTCCTTTGGATTGGCTTGGCTAATGGTGCAGTTATATTCACTTCCATCTGGGAGAGCCCTTCCCTGGCTCGGATGGAGACTGAGGGGCTGCTTTCATCTTCTGCTATCCCCCTCCGCTCACATGTGATCACTGCTGGCTGGGGGTCTGGGTTGAGGAAGGAAGCCAGCAGCGGTGTGCCAAGATAGACGACATGCTGTGTTAACAAACAACCCACTATCTTAGTGACATAGCAGCCAAGTTTCATTTCATTTCATTTCTTTCTTTTCTTTTAAGATGGAGTCTAGCTCTGTCACCCAGGCTGGAGTGCAGTAGCATGATCTTGGCTCACTGCAACCTTCTCCCCTCTGGGTTCAAGTGATTCTCCTGCCTCAGCCTCCCGAGTAGCTGGGATTACAGGCTCCCATCACCACACCCAGCTAATTTTTGTATTTTTAGTAAAGATGGGGTTTCACCATGTTGGCCAGGCTGGTCTTGAACTCCTGACTGATCCACCTGCCTTGGCCTCCCAAAGTGCTGGGATTACAGATGTGAGAATGCTCAGCAGCCACCAAGTTTCTATCTCATCAGTGCCACATGTCCATCAAGCATCAGCTGGGGGCTCTGTCTCATGTTTCCTCGTTGGAGATGTAGGCTAAAGGAAGAGCCAGTCTCCATGGAAGAACAAAAGAGCACTCTGGTGGGTTGCACGCAATTAAATGGTTTGGTCCATAAATTACCCATATCACACCCAATCACAGTTCACTGGCCCACACTAGTCTCATGGCCCCACCCAACCACAAGGGACCAGGAGGTACCAGCTTCCCATGATGCAGAAAGTGGAGAGCTGGAATACCACTTGTGTCCCAAGTGCCCAGCATTAAGACACTACACACACCACCTCTGAGAGCTGTGCCCAGCATGTTTGGGGCAGGACAGACTTCAGGGCCCTTTGCTCCTGGCAAACCTTATCCTCTTCCCGCATTGCCTGATCCCTGAGGGAAAGGTCCAAAGACTTCATTTTTCCTGGCATGGATTTAGGAGAAGCTTTGCCTCAATCCCGTTCTCTTCATCCTGGAAGAGATCATCCAGCATCCCTGAAGCAGGGATTGCTTCTCATTCCCAGTGGCTTTGCTCATCTTCCTTCAGGTAGTGCGGCTAAGGCCAACAGGCCATGGGGCTGGCCTGTGTCTCTTGGGTGGCCAGTTAGTTGTCTTAGATCCTTCATTTTCTCCATCTCTGTCTTTACAGAAGCCCTTAGAATAGTTAAGGCTGGTGTCACCACAACTCAAGTAGGGCCTTGTGGCTGCCCTCTTGCCAGTGATGAGCCTTATCTCAGTGTCCTCAGGATTACATGGGAGATGTGGGAATCTCCTTGCAGAGACCCACCTGTGGTGGGTGATGACCTGCCCTGTGGTGATGTCTCCCTCTTCTGGACCTTCAGGAGGACGCTTTAGGCTTGAGAGGGCCCCAGTCTTCTGGACAGAGGGCTTTGATGTGTCCTGACTTCCAGAGAGCAAACAACCTCGGAGAGAACTCACTTTCACCCTCCACTTTAGGGTCCTTGTCCTCTCCTGTAACGACAGCTGCTGGCATTAGTCCCTCTGCAGAAAGCCTGTGTCGGACCCTCGGCCTGCCTTCCACATTTCCTCCGTGGATGCTCCGAGATGGCCAGCCCCCCATCTTGGACTTCTCTGTCACAGATGTGAATGAGTGTCTGACCCCTGCGGTCTGTGCCCATATAAAGTGCACCAACCTGGAAGGCTCCTTCAGATGCTCTTGTGAGCAGGGTTATGAGGTCACCTCAGATGAGGAAATGTGGAAGCAGGCCGAGGGTCCAACACAGGCTTCTTCCTCTCAGCCAGTAGGGCCTCTAAATCTGCACAAGCTGGTGGACTTCCTCTAGGAGTATGACAATTACCCATTTAGGAAGAAGCACCCCTCCTCCTTTCCCTGGCCAATGGACCTGTCGTGAAGAGTGAGCCAGAGCCTTGGTACTGGGCAGAGGAGCAGAATGTCCTCCTGCAGCGCTGACCCAGAGCTCAGTCCCTGTGACAGGACCTCCCTAACTCAGTCCAGGTCCCCTAGGTGCCTTGATGATGAAGCCCATGGCATGTCACATAGGGAATAGCCCTCCCTCAGCTCCCGGGAGAAGCTCTCTCTTCCTCCTGTTGCCACGCTCCCTTCCTGGGTCCTCTCATCAGCCTGGGTGTCCAGTTGATGTCCAGGCTTACCCCTTGTGGCTAACTTTCCTGGATCTTGCCAGAGTGAGTGCCAGGATCCCTATACGGTTCTTGGCTGGAAGAAGTGTCTGACAGCTCTCCAGCAGAGAAGCTTTGCCAGTTCTATCCTGCAATCTACACTCAGCCTCAGGGCTGGTCTTGGCCATATCCAAGATTGGGGGTTCCTCCGTGGTCCTCATTTCCTGGTGCAAGGAGGCCCAAGCTGCCTTCACTGCCCTCTGGTGATCTATTCTGGAGCCTCTGGCAATCCAGTTAGCTGCTATGCCAAGCAGGTCCCTGCAATGGTCACTGCTTATAAAGGATTGGGAATAGGCCAGGGGAGAGATGAACGCCCATCCCAAACAGCCCAGCTCACAAAGTGGAGCCTCTGGCCCTCCCACAGCGGGTGGTAACCACAGCCCATTGCACCCACCCAGGGAGTCTCCCTTTCTAAGTGTTAAGTTCTTTTATCTCCCTCTTTTGTCCAGGACAGTGGGTGGGACGTGGAGTTGGGAACACAGGACAGCTCTCATTCTTTCCCAGTTTTCATCTGTCCATCCTTTCCCCAACCAAGGGCAGGGATGAAGATTTGCTGCGTCACAAACCTACCCATGTGCTATGTTCCCAGAGATGACCAAGGGAGGGGCTGCTGTTTTACAGATATCAACGAATGCCGTCACCCGGGTACCTGCCCTGATGGGAGATGCGTCAATTCCCCAGGCTCCTACGCTTGTCTGGCCTGTGAAGAGGGCTACCGGGGCCAGAGTGGGAGCTGTGTAGGTGAGGGCTGCTGGCCAAGCCACTGAGCAGGCCATTAGGCCTTGGGACCTCTGGTTGAGCCCACACACAGAGAGGGAAAGAGGTGGGCAGAGGGAGGTGGCTTGGAGGCTGTTGTCCTCCGTGATCCAGCTGGGTTCCCAGATGACACTGGGCATGAGTCGCCAGGGCTCTGCCCTCTGAATCACCGAGGGTGGGGCCCTTTTCTGCTCCTTGGCTGTATCCATTCTGGAGTGACTGCCCAAAGTCCCAGCAGCTTCTATAGCTGGATCCCATAGTGGGAGTGAGGAGCCTGAGGGTCTTAGGATGGAGCCAGGCGGTTCTGCATTTCCCAGGGAAGAGGGGCCTCCTGCTCTTCTGCATCTCAAAAGCAGTGTCTAAGCAGCACGCCCACTGCACAGCGGGGCGCTTCTTCCTCAGAAGGGCAGCTTGCAGCCCCCTCAGGAAGAAGGCCTCAGAGTTCAGAATGCCGGGAGGGACTGAGTGTTGAATAGACGCTTTGAGCCTCTGGAGAGGGCAGACCTTTCCCAGGCCCTCGAAGCTGACCGGCCTCTCTCCACGTGGCCCGCCCACCCGCGGAAACTGCTTGTTGGGTTGGGATCGTGGGTTGTCTGGTTGGCAGGTAGGAGGTCATGTAGGGTTCCTGGCACCCGCAATGAGGGGACTCAAGGATCTTGGACACTTTATTCCAAGTGTCCTCAGAGGAGCCAAACCAGCCCCAGGGCTGGGGGACCGGGCCCCTGCATGGACACATGCAGAGTGCTGGGGCTAAAGTGAGCCCGGGGGAGGGGATGCCCTGCCCTGCCCTGCCTAGGTGGGAGGAGAGAGCATGGCCTCATAGCCTCCCCAGCGTGGCCTGCGGCCCCTCTGAAAGCTGGTTCCCTGGCCTCATAACTGAGACACTTGGAGCCTGCTAGTGGGGGCTGCGGGATGGCAAGGAGGCCAGCCCCCCATCTTGGACTCCTCTGTCACAGATGTGAATGAGTGTCTGACCCCTGGGATCTGTGCCCATGGAAAGTGCACCAACCTGGAAGGCTCCTTCAGATGCTCTTGTGAGCAGGGCTATGAGGTCACCTCAGATGAGAAGGGCTGCCAAGGTACAGAGATGCCAGAGCACCCCTCTCCACAGGCCAATCCAGCTTATGGCTCCCTCCCCTCTGCACACCGCCCCCCAGCCCCCAAATTCCCCCCTGGCCCCGCATCCCTATCCACGCTGACCCAACACATCCCTGCCTAGACCTGCCCTTCCTCCACCCCTGCCTACCTGCCAGTCTCTGGCTGTCCTGGCCTGTCTGTCCTGCAGAGTCCCACACAGAAGGCAATGCCCTGTTTCAGATGTGGACGAGTGTGCCAGCCGGGCCTCATGTCCCACAGGCCTCTGCCTCAACACGGAGGGCTCCTTCACCTGCTCCGCCTGCGAGAGCGGGTACTGGGTGAATGAAGATGGCACTGCCTGTGAAGGTAACCCTGGAGAGGCGGTGGCAGAAGGGGACAGAATGTAGGCTGTCTTACTTCCCGAAGAACACTCCATTTGTCCCCAGTTTGGGGCTGATGCTGAGGGGCTCCAGGCCAGGCTAGAGGACTGGAGAAATGGACTTGGCCCCAGTAAGAGCATCTATTGTCATAATCCCCAAGTTCAGCATAAGGACAGGAGGAAAAGTGACTCACAGAGACAAGAGGGAAGCTAAGGACAGGGCCACCCCTGGAGCGTTCTAGGGAGGGGGTTTTAGGAAACCCCCCAGGGGCTCAGAGAGGGAGGCCAAGGCCATGGTGAGGTTCCTGCATTGCCCAGAGTGGGAGCCCTGCTAGGTCCCCGGGTGAGCGCTGTCTGTCTGCAGACCTAGATGAGTGTGCCTTCCCGGGAGTCTGCCCCTCGGGAGTCTGCACCAACACAGCTGGCTCCTTCTCCTGCAAGGACTGCGGTGGTGGCTACCGGCCCAGCCCCCTGGGTAACTCCTGTGAAGGTATGGGCCTCTATGCGGGAGAGGACACAAATAAGATGCCCCTCTGCCGGGGCGCAGGTGGGGACCTGCTGGGGCAAAGATGGGAGGAGCTACTATCATCCTGCTCCCCAAGGGTCGATCCTGAGCTTCTCCCAGCTGTGCTGCCTCATGAGCGCATGATGCCCCTGTGGGTCCAGCTCTGCAGGCAGGTGACAGGTCCTCTGGACACCTCCCCCTTGGCTCCTGTCCTTGGGAGGTGCTGCCATTGGCCGCCTTCCTCCCCTGTGTGGCCCTGCAGATGTGGATGAGTGTGAAGACCCCCAGAGCAGCTGCCTGGGAGGCGAGTGCAAGAACATGGTGGGCTCCTACCAGTGCCTCTGTCCCCAGGGCTTTCAGCTGGCCAATGGCACTGTGTGTGAGGGTGAGTGGCCCAGGTCAGCCTACTGGGGATGGGGGGCATGAGTGTGTGGGGAGGCAGGTACATCCCCAGCAGACACCTACTGCCCATCTTTCCCTGCAGATGTGAACGAGTGTGTGGGGGAGGAGCACTGTGCACCCCACGGCGAGTGCCTCAACAGCCACGGGTCTTTCTTCTGTCTGTGCGCACCCGGCTTCGTCAGCACAGAGCGGGGCACCCGCTGCCAGGGTGAGAAGCCAGCACAGCCACCTCTACTGACCAGGAGCATGGGCGCTAGAGGCTAAGACTAGAGGGGTGTCCCTTTTAATGCCAATACTGAGAGCCAGTGCTTACGGCCCCACCCCGGGAGGAGAAGATAGAAGCGAGGAATGATGCAAGGGAGCCTGGTGCTCAGGGAGGGAGGAACTCAGTCTCTCCCCAGGGCCTCCTCACAACATTGACAGCAGGCATGCACCCACTCCAGACTCCGAGGGTCACTTCTCCCCTTTACAGAGCTCCAGTTCCAGGGAACTTCCACCTCCCACAACCTGGCCTCTGGCTTCCAGCCCTTCCCTACCTGAGCTACTCCCTGACCCTCCTGTGGGCTACTCAGGGCCCAGGGGAAGCTACATAGGGCACTAACAGGGAAGGGACCCATGGCTGGGTCAGCTGACAGCCATCTCTACTCTAGATGTGGACGAGTGTGCCACCACAGACCTGTGTCTGGGAGGGCACTGTGTCAACACTGAGGGCTCCTTCAACTGTCTGTGTGACACTGGCTTCCAGCCCGCCCCAGAGAGTGGAGAGTGTATGGGTAAGGGCCCTTGGGGGGGTGGGAACAGGGCTCTGCCCACCTCTACCCTGCTTGGTCCTCAGCTCCTGTGGAGCAGAGCACTTTCCACAGATAAAGCGTCCAACGGATAGTGCATGTATTAAGACGCAGGGCTCAGGGGCTGTCCAAGGATGGCAGAATGAAGACAATCATCATCTTTGTGCTGCCAGAATGCACAATCTAGTCTTAAAGCCCAAATTGATTCAATAGACATTTATTAAATACCTGCTATGTTCAATATCTTTAGCTAGGACAAATAGACAGTTATGGACGATCTTGAAATTGAGCAAGGGATATAGATATGAAGACAACTCTCTGTAATACACTATGCTGAAGGCCCCCTGTAAAGAGAAGTGCAGGGCTCTGCTGGTAAGGATGAGAGGCAGATGGGGTGGCGGAGGAAAAGGAGTGTCACAGAAGGCTGGGGGCTCACCGCTTCCTAAATAGCAGACGGTTTTCTTCCCAGATGTTCAGCGCTGAAGGGTCAGGGGAAATCATCCTGACCTTGATGTGCTGGGTTGGGAGGAGCACAGTAATCTGGAACAGATCAAGAACCCCAGAGATTGTGGGGCAGACCCTGTGGGACCAGAGCAGTGACCTGGCCACCTCTGTCCCCTCTCATGGCATGGCTTTGGGGACAGATATCAATGAGTGCGAGGACTATGGAGACCCAGTGTGTGGGGCCTGGAGGTGTGAAAATAGCCCTGGCTCCTACCGCTGTGTCCTGGGCTGCCAGCCTGGCTTCCACATGGCCCCAAACAGAGACTGCGTTGGTGAGTAGGGAGGGAGGAGAGAGAGGAGAGAGGGCCGAGAACACCTGTTTCACGTATTGAGCTAGACATGATTTTGTCCTGAAGACATGATTTTTTTGCAGCTGATTGTAGTTTGTATATTTTTCATCCAGCAGAGCCTGTGAAAAATGGCACAGGACTGTGAACGTTAGGGTTTTCTTATCCTGTGTTGAGAGGCTGCTTTTTGCAGATATTGGTGGTAATAAGCCAAATAAGTATTCTCAGCAGAGAACAAGAGTGTGTGTGTGTGTGTGTGTGTGTGTGTGTGTGTGCGCGCGCGCGACAGTGCATGCACACAAACACACATGCCCACCCTGGTTCCCACTGTCCCACAGACATAGACGAGTGCACCAATGACACCATGTGTGGGAGCCACGGCTTCTGTGACAACACCGACGGCTCCTTCCGCTGCCTCTGTGACCAGGGCTTCGAGATCTCCGCCTCAGGCTGGGACTGTGTGGGTGAGGAGCCTGTGGGCTACGCATGGTCTGGGCCAGGGAAGGGAAGTCCTGGGGTCCTCCTCCTAAACTGGTCCTGGTCACATGGCTCCACAGTGGGTCCCCAGAACATGGGCAAGGGAGGCTTCAAGGAACAGGGAGACTTCAACTCCCTGCCCAGGGCCACTTGGGCCAGGCGGGTAAAGGGAAGCACAGCCGTACTCTGCCAGCAGGGCAGCAGGTGTCCTCAAGCCTCAGAGCCTTCAGAGGTGGAATGTTTGGAGACTGTGCACCGAGGGGTAACCCTTCCTCTTCGTGCACGTCTGTGACCGTCTGTTGCTACTCCTCTCCTTCTCTCTTCCTTCCCATGCCCTCTGTCCATCGGTTCCTCCTCCCTGCAAATCTATACTCTTGCTTCTTCCCCAAGGCCTAGCCTGCTTCTCTGGGGGCAGTGGGCTGGAGTCGGGGGCAGGGGGCACAGGCTGCCTCTTCTCTGCCCACAAGCCTGTCCTCATGCCCGGCAGACGTGAACGAGTGTGAGCTCATGCTGGCGGTATGTGGGGCCGCGCTCTGTGAGAACGTGGAGGGCTCCTTCCTGTGCCTCTGCGCCAGTGACCTGGAGGAGTACGATGCCCAGGAGGGGCACTGCCGCCCACGGGGGGCTGGAGGTGAGGCCTGGGAGACTCATTATCCATGGCAACTCAGAGGTTTACAGAGAGCGTGTCCCTCCGCATCCCACTGCTAGCCTCTAGCTTCTGAGGGGGATGCCAGGCCAGGGCCTGGGGCAGTGTAGCAAGGTGCAGGTGGGGCCTGGCGCACGGATGGGTGAGGAGGCTGAGTGCCGTGAGCAGTGAGACCGGGAGCTACAGGGTGGCAACAACCCTAGAGGAGGCTAAGGAAACTCTTACACTGACTTAGGGCGGCCCCAGGGACCACAGATTGAGCCTTGGAGGGACTCTGAATTCATCTAATCCCTGGGAACCTTCTGGATGACATGCGACTTGAAGCTGAGTTAAACTGAAGTCTCACCTTCCCACTTGCCGCTCCACCCCAGAGCTGCTGGGTTCAGCCTCTCACTGGACTAGGACTCAGCCAGCCTTCCCCGCCTTGGGGGAAAATGAGGGAGACAAGGACGGTGGAAGGGGCTGGGGTACACGTGGAGCAGAACGGACCAGCAGGCTGCCCATATGGCATGCCAGGGACTGGAGGCCATCCATCACAGGGAGGCAGGCAGGGTGGTGTCCCACAAAGAGCAAGTGCTTTGGCGAGGAGGAACTGGGGTCGGATCCCTGCTGCACTGTTTCATAGCTGCACAGTGGTGGCGAGGCCCCGATTTCTTCATCTGTAAAAGGCAGATGATGATTAAGCCACTTCTTAGGGTTGTCAAGAGCATCAGTGAGGTAATACAGGTAATAGCAATTTTCCCACTGTAAAGTGCTACAAAAATGTTAAATCTGAGAAAGAACGTCAAGGGCTATTGATCCCTTCAGAGGACCATGAACAGACACTAATGAGCATCTGTCATGCACAGGCCAGAGTATCCCTGAGGCCCCAACAGGAAACTATGCCCTGGCCCCCATCCGCATGGACTGCTACTCTGGGCAGAACAGCCATGCACCCTGCTCCATCGTCCTGGGCCGGAACACCACACAGGCTGAATGCTGCTGCACCCAGGGCGCCAGCTGGGGAGATGCCTGTGACCCCTGCCCGTCTGAGGACTCAGGTAAGGCCCCAAGGGTTCCAGATCCTCAAAGGGTCAACTAGGCAAGGTGACACTGAAAGAGGGGAGAGAGGAAGGGGATAGGACCCTTCCCACTCTGAGCTGAAATGCCTCTCTACATAGCTGAATTCAGCGAGATCTGCCCTAGTGGTAAAGGCTACATTCCTGTGGAAGGAGCCTGGACGTTCGGACAGACCATGTACACAGGTAACCTTCTGCGCCATCCTCCGCCCCAAACCTCATTCACTGAAGTGGGCCCCAGCCTGCTCCTCCACGGGGTCCCTCGGGAAGTTCTGCATCCAGCCCTGGCTTCTCAGGTGGCCTCCAACTTTTCTGTCCCAGGGCTGACTCCCTACAGAGTGTTAGCTGGAAGTTCTGACCCAAGCTCCTTGTGGAATGTCCACATGAGCCTCACCTCAGTTTCCCTGCTCCCCCGAGGCTGCACCTCCAGAAATAAACTAAGATGCCTTGACTAACTCTCACCCCTAGCCACATGTGGGCACAGGGAGAGTGGAGAGCGCAGCTCTATCGGCCAGAGGCTGTGCTCATCTCCCTGGCTGCACCGATGAGGCTGGAAACTGGGGAACCCACACTCATAGTGGGATGGTCTAGGTACTGCGCCCCTCAGAGCCCTAGTCCTTAAGCTAGTCCTGAGAAGGAAATCATAGAAACAGAGGTCACTTTAGCTGGGTGCTGGCTATGTGCCACACAGTTTTGAGCACCTCACACATATTAGCACCTTTTCATCGTTGTAACAACTCTAAGAGGCTAAGGAGCACATAGGTGTCCCTGACCTGGGTAGAGTGGCATCTGGTTGGTGGTGCCCATCTCATATCAGCCAGGGACAAAGCAACCCCTTGTTCATCCCAGCTTGGCTTTTGATCTGTGCCTATGCCTGGTTCATGCCTTGGACACATAGGTCTAAAAAAATTTTTTTTAATAAAATAAAAATAAATTTAAAAAATAAAAATAATAAATTTAAAAAAAAAAAAAAAAAAAAAAAAAGGAGCACACAGGAACCGGAGGCAAGGCGAACTTAAGCAACTTGCCTGAAGCCACCCAGCTAGTAAGTGGCAGAGCTGGGATTGAAACCCAGCCTCGCTTTGGATCCCCTGCTCTAGGTACCCCTCATACTGCCTCTCACCTCCCTCTCACCTCAGCTCTGCCCTTCCACAGATGCGGATGAGTGTGTGATCTTTGGGCCTGGTCTCTGCCCAAACGGGCAGTGCCTCAACACTGTGCCTGGCTACGTCTGCCTGTGCAATCCTGGCTTCCACTACGATGCTTCCCACAGGAAGTGTGAGGGTGAGGACACACATGATCTCTGCCCACACCCCAGGCCCACAACTGAATAATGGCCAACCCAGCCAGTCCCATTCTTGCTGGGAGTCCCCCTTTCTGGGGAGGCCACCCACTGCACAGGCTAATCCCAGGTGAAGGAGCTCTGGGCTGTCAGACATTGTCCCCAGGGAGGGGCCTTCCAGGCTGGGCTGGGTTGGGGAGAGGGAGGCAGGGCACTAACGCTTCATTATCAGTGACAGGAAATCCCCCTTCCCTGAGGATGGTCAATAGACAAGGCCACCTTGGCATTGCCCCACCCTTTCTTGCCACTCCAGATCACGATGAGTGCCAGGACCTGGCCTGTGAGAATGGCGAGTGCGTCAACACGGAGGGCTCCTTCCACTGCTTCTGCAGCCCCCCGCTCACCCTGGACCTCAGCCAGCAGCGCTGCATGAACAGCTCCAGCAGCACGGGTGAGTGAGCCTGAGCGTGGGGCAGCAGGAGAAGGGGATCTGGGTTGAGGGGCTCATGTGCCTCCGTGCCCTGTGCCACCAGACGACCTCCCTGACCATGATATCCACATGGACGTGTGCTGGAAAAAAGTCACCAATGACATATGCAGCGAACCCCTGCATGGGCATCGTACCACCTACACAGAATGCTGCTGCCAGGATGGCGAGGCCTGGAGCCAGCAGTGTGCCCTGTGTCCCCCCAGGAGCTCTGGTGAGGGGGAGCAAACGGGAGACCCCTACAGGTTTGGGCCAGGCCCCAGGGAGGAGAAGGCCCTCACCCTGGAAGGGGGGATCTAGAAAGGAGCAGAGCAATCAGACCCTGTCTTCCATCCTGCTGTTTGGAGACAAAGTAGGGCAGGGGAGAGGTGGGGAGAGGAATGCTGCCAGGATCTCCCAGAGGGTACCAGTCCCTGCATGCTCCCAGAGACAAAGCCAACCAGGCTTTAGCTGGCAGTAGCTGGAACCCAGCTCCCTCTATCCCTCCTCCCTGACAGAGGTCTATGCTCAGCTGTGCAATGTGGCTCGCATCGAGGCGGAGCGGGAGGCTGGGGTCCACTTCCGGCCGGGCTATGAGTATGGCCCTGGCCCTGACGACCTGCACTACAGCATCTATGGCCCAGATGGGGCCCCCTTCTACAACTACCTGGGTCCCGAGGACACCGTGCCTGAACCTCCCTTCCCCAACACAGCCGACCACCCAGGGGACCACACGCCCATCCTTGAGTCTCCCTTGCAGCCCTCAGAACTCCAGCCCCACTATGTGGCCAACCATCCAGGTCTGTGTTGCTGCAAAAATGGGGAAGAGGTGGGCACCAAAGCTGTTTCACTTCCATCTCCTTCACCTTCTAGTCATTTTGCCAGCAGGATGAGGACTGGGAAGGGGAAAGACACACCAAGCCAGAGGTCCCCGTTCATGGTTCATCAAGACAAGTACAAACGTCCAGGTCCGACCCTAACAACTCCGTCATAAACTAGCATGGGGGCACAAAAGGTACAGGACACTGCCCCTGTCCTAACCTACAAGCTTCCTGTGGGGACAGAGCGAGAGAAAGCGGTTCACTGCAGTCTTTTCCTCCCTCCAAGCCACCTACAGGCTGCAGAATAACCTGCTCTAAGGACACCCCGCATTCACACTTGTGACCTGAAATGTGGATTCAGGTTTTCTAAGGACTCTAAAGGCCCACTGTGATGACTCTGTTTGTGAATGGTGCCATCCCAGCACTCAGGCCATGGATTCTAATGAGGAAGTCAGGCCTAGCACTGTGCCATGCACACAGTACCCACCACAGGCACAGCTACCATAGCAGCCTAAGACCCCACTACCAGGCAGGGTGGGGCCTTTTCCATGGGGTGGAGGGGTGCTTAGAGAGAGGAGGGTTAGGCAGATCTGGCAGACGTTTTGCTTTGTGTTGAGCGAGGCCCCTCTGCTACCAATTGTTCCCCACTCCCAAAAACACGACGTGCAGATTTAAACAAAATACCTCACCCCACACCCACACCCAAACCCAAAAACACTCCCCCATCCCCCAAACCCCGTCAGGAGCTGAGCATTGTGGAAGCAGCAAGTCTCACCCTCCCTGGAGCCCTCATTTAAAGTCCAGAGCACCTCTGCCCATCTAAAATCACACACTTTTTTTTTTTTTCAAGAGCACTGCCTTTTGTTCTAACATATTTCCATGAGAATTTTATGATCCTCTCTGCCCCCATCCCCAAAGTCCCATGGGACACCCTTCGTCCAGGAGGGCAGAGTCTGGACACAGCCCTCAGCCTCCTTCTCTCTCCAATTCCTTCCTCCCAGAGCCCCCAGCCGGCTTCGAAGGGCTTCAGGCGGAGGAGTGTGGCATCCTGAACGGCTGTGAGAATGGCCGCTGTGTGCGTGTGCGGGAGGGCTACACCTGCGACTGTTTTGAGGGCTTCCAGCTGGATGCGGCCCACATGGCCTGCGTGGGTGAGTGGAGAATTCTGATGGAGGAGTCAGGCTGGCCCACTGCCCACAGGGATGTCTGAACTCAGGAGGGCTGGAAGAGCCACTGCTGCCTCCTAGTGGGGCTGTCTGCGTCAGGCTGGGAGGGAAGAAAGCGCCAAAGCAAGGTCCAATTCTGTGCTTTAGAAAGCCCCTTCCATGCAGGTTCCCAGACAAAAGACAAGGACAAGAAAGCATGGTCTTGGGCACGGTATGAGCTCGCGGCCCTCTGCTTTGTCCTTGAGTTGCTTGGTTTTGGGAAGTGACTTCAGCGTCTGGCTGTCGCACTAGGATTTCACTCCAGGGCAGGGGCCAGGGCTTAGTAACCAGAGGGGTGGAGGCAGCCAGCAGAGGAACTTGGGCTCCCTACATCTCCTCTCTCCTTTGCTTCCTCTTAGATGTGAATGAGTGTGATGATCTGAATGGGCCTGCTGTGCTCTGTGCCCACGGTTACTGCGAGAACACGGAGGGCTCCTACCGCTGCCACTGCTCCACGGGTTATGTAGCCGAGGCAGGCCCCCCCCACTGCACTGCCAAGGAGTAGCAGTCAGGGGTCAGTGTGGCAACTATCTGGAAATGGCCTCCAGTCACAGGCAGGGGCCTTGAGGCTGATTTCCTAGCTGGGAAGACAGGCGTAGTCAGGCCAGAGGTTTCCAATCAGCCTTGCCTGCTTTCATCTCTCCCAGCTTAGCCTCTGGCTGTGAGCTTCGGTCACTGCCTCTGTGCCCTTGCTTGGCTCAAGCACCACCAATCGCTTTAATGCTTCAGCCACTGCATGAGGCCCTGTTCACCACCTGTCCTGGCCTTGCTATGGGATGCTTACCAAAGGATGGCCCTCATCCACCCTCCCAAGATGTGCAAGCATGAAAGGCCCCATGGCCTCACACTGCAGACACCCCTTTCCAGCCACTATCCACCATCATCCTGATGATCCCACAACTAGGACAGAGGCTACATCTGCTCTGTGAAGGTCCTTCAGAATCTGTGGAGCAAGAAAGGATTTGGGAAAACTTGGGGACTGACTCCAGTGTCCCCTCCCAAGAACCATCACCACCACTCAGCCAATCTGTTCTGGGCCCTGATTTTGCCACACCTCCATCCTGTAGCCCATTCTCTGGCCCCAAGGAGTGGCAGAAGATCCCTTCACTCAGACACGCAAGACTGATAGTAGCTTGTTGAGTGTAAGAAACACAAACAAAGAAGAACAAAGAGCCTGAGAAAGCAGCAAGAGGACATGATGAAACGTTTGTGGAGTTGATGAGAAAGGGGAGCCAAGCCTTCATATGTCTAAAGAAAATATTCGGTAGCTAACATTCAAAATACACCCAGTGATAGCCCGTGTGCACCAGCAGCAAGGGCTGCCATGGGATCGCGTACCCATCTACAATGACCTCTATTACATAAACAGTGCTTCTTACAGGAAACAAACCTCTTCTAGACCCTCCTTTTGTGAAAACCAGTTTGATGTTCTAAAAGTTAAAAGTCTACTATTTGGTATGGTCTTCTTCAGAAGAAGCCAGATTTCCAATGTTGTTTTTCCCCTCTACTCAGAAGCACCTGCCCTTTTCCCTTCAGAAAACGACGGCAGGCAATCCTCTGAGTTTACAAGCAGAGACTCACTCCAACCCAAGCAAGCTGGGAGTTCAGAACCATGGTAGAATAAAGAAATGTACATATGGTCTCTTCTGTTCTTGTTTTTATTTCATATCAGACCAAATATCTTTACCATGTTGGCTAAGTCTAAATATTAGAGACGAGGCTGTGCCTACTCCCTGGCCAGCTCTGCTGATAGCCTATGATGGGTTCCAATGGGAAAAGACTCTTTACTATTGAAAGACAAGGAAAGCTCTGACTTTGCACTTCTCCGATGAATGGCAATGCAAACAAACAAGGCTCCATGTGACTGGAGCATAGAAGTGAATGCTGCTTTCTTAATTTAATCTGCCTTGTCCTACCTGCTCTTCTGATTGTTAGTCTCACATAACTTATTGAATGCTTGCTATGTGCCAGGCACTGTGCTGAGTGCTATACATACATTTCATTTAATTATCCAATGATCCTACTTACCATTGTTTATTCTCAATTTACAGGACAGGAAACTGAGACATAGAAAGCTTAATTTTCTCTAGGTTCCTATATTAATTGAGGTGTTTCCAGCAGACAAAAATAAATCACTCTTATGCATGTGAAAATATTCTTTCACTCATAATAAAAGAAATGCAACTTAAAACCATACTGAGATGCTTTTTTGAAATTGTCAAATTGGTAAAGATCAGAAAGCTTGTTAAGATGGCTAGCTGGCAAGCATGTGGGGAAATTGGCACTCTCATAATAGCTGATAGAAGTACATATTGAAGAGGACGGTATGGCAATGTCCTTCAAAATTATAAAAGACTAACTCTTTGATCCAGTAATTCCACTTCTAGAAACTTGATCTTCAGATCTATTTTCACCAGATATGAAAAGACATAGGTAAGAATTTATTACTGCATCATTTGTAATAGCAAAAGATTAGAAACAATTAATTGCTATGAAACCCTTTAAAAAGGTGTCTCTAAATGCCTTAAGATATCCAAAACAAATTGAGGGAAAAGGGAGGCTACATAACAGCGTGTAATATAACACTATTTGTCTAAAGAATGGGGAAAGAGAAGTGGTTGTCTGTTAATCCTTGCCACTCCACTTTATACCTTACCATTCAGAGACCATCTTACCATCCCCCAAATATATCCTGCTGGCACTATACCTTAACTGCTGTTCCCACCGCCCCTGCAACACTCCAAGCTTCGCCTTCCTGCCCAACCTTGAGATATTGCATGCATATATACATATTTCCTTTGTTTAAAACACAAACAGCCTACAATGCATGCTGTTCTGCACTTTGCTGGTTTTGTTTTTTTGGCTTTATACTTGCAAGTAGAGCTGCCTCATTCCATTTTATAGCCGTCTACTATTCTACTGAATGGATAAACCATAATTTATTTAATCAGTCCCTCACTAATAGACATTTCCATTGTTTCCTGTATTTTGCTATAAATAATGCTGCAATGAATATTCGTGTGCATATTTCACATTAATTTATGGGATTATATCTGCAGGATAAATTCTTAGAAACAACGGTGGTTTGTGGGGAGGGTGACAGGGTGGACAGGTTCAGGATTGGGAGACTTTTCACTGTATCTCCTTTTGTATTTTTTTGAATTTTGTACTATGTATCACCTATTCAAAAATAAATAAAATATTTTTAAATACAGTTGCTGGCCACAGATTGCTTAAATGCTCCCTCTCTTTCTATATTTATCTGACTAAAATTTACAATTAAAGCCAGGTGCTAATTATGTCCAAATTCCTTAATGAAAATTTGTTAGGCAGTCCTGTGGCATTTTTATGAAGAACAGCAAATAGGGATTTTAAAACAGCAATCATACACATCAGTGCTAGATATGAAGAAAAACGGAAGAGATTCCTTCCTTTCAGATAAACATGCAGTGAACAGTGTTAGGCCCTGCCCAAGGCCGGCTGCACACCATTAGCTTATGTCCAGATTTCCAGGGAGAGCTGTACCATCAGGATCAGTGCTGCCCACTTCCCTATACCAGGTTGATCCTGCAAAATGCCATCCCTATACTCTAATGCTTCATAACAAATGACAAAAGAACAGAGCTCAATTCTCAGAAGTTACAGAAAGAAGCAGCTCTTCCTGAACACCTACTTTAGTTGTCCTTCCTAATCTCTAACTTCTGAATTTCTTTTCCTATCCCTTGTAACCAGTCAACATTCCCACACAAAGAAACTACGGATGGGCCAGGCATGGTGGCTCGCACCTGTAATCCTGGCACTTTGGGAGGCTGAGGGGCGAGGATCGCTTGAGCGCAGGAGTTCAAGACTCCTGTGCAACATGGCAAAACCCCATCTCTACAAAAAACACAAAAATTAGCCTGACTGGTGGTGTGTACCTGTAGTCCCAGCTATTTTCGGGGGCTGAGGTGGGAGGATCATTTGCGCCTGGGAGGTAGAGGCTGCACCTCTGTACTCCCACCTGGGAGACAGAGTGAGACCCTGTCTCAAAAAAAAAAAAAGAAACTAAGAGTGGATGGGACACATAATTTATGCATCATTGGTCACTGTCATCACATAACTGAAGTATGATACCACAGTAAGATTTGGACATTGACCAGGAGACCATCTCTTTGAAAAACGACATAAAGATGATTCACAACATAAAGCAGATTCAGAGCTCCCTTGACTGGTTCTTTTGCCTCAGCACTGGCTTGCGTAAAAGGTTAGTGCCAATTCTGCAACAAATAGGCCTTGACAATCTCCCATCCAAAGAACAGGAAGGTATAAAATGTCCCAATTGAAACTGGAAGAGTACAAAGTTTTCCTAAATGAATGTGCAGTGAGCAGAATTTGTGAAAATGACCACTGGCTTTTACAGGCCACTAAGAAGAGGGCATCTGGTCAGAAAGGGCCTGCAGTAGATCCCTAACTAATTTTACCGTGTCCTATTTATTCCAAACTGCCCATGGCCCCCTGACGCTATCATTCCCCCATGTCCTGTTTTTAAGTCACCATCTTCCAATGGAAACTTCTTGCTGTTCCTTCTGGTTTCCCCATGAAGCTTTCTCAGTGTGAACTAACATGATTTTTCCCAAATCTGCCTTTTTTTTTTTTTCAAGCCAGAGTCTCACTCTACTGCCCAGGCTGAAGTGCAGTGGTGCAATCTAGACTCACTGCAACCTCTGCCTCCCAGGTTTAAGTGATTCTCCTGCCTCAGTCTCCTGAGTAGCTGGGATTACCGGCGCCTGACACCTGGCTAATTTTTGTATTTTTAGTAGAGTTGGGGTTTCATCATGTTGGCCAGGCTGGTCTCGAACTCCTGACTTCGGATATACGCCCACCTTGGCCTCCCAAAGTGCTGGGATTACAGGCACAAGCCACTGCATCCGTCCCCAAATCTGCCTTTTTCTAAACATAAAATTCCAATTCTCCCATTAACAGTAGATACTCACATATAAGCTTCTGTATCCTAAGGGACCCTGTTTCTGTCTAGTGGACCACTGTAATTTGGTTGATTCAGCAACAGAAGCTGTTCTGCTTGTGCTCAAGAGTTTCAAAACCACCAAATCAATCAATAACCCACAAAAATATTCTGAAAGAATAGGTTCTAATGTTTAAAATGTAGCAAAAATTTTTAAAGCAGGATGAAAAAAACAGGTAGTCCAAACTGAAAACCTTATCAGGCACAGATATTGGCGGCACCGTCTTGGTCATGTGTGTACAAAGATGCTCTCATGGTATGCTGCTTTCTGCCTCCTTCCATGGGCACTAAGAAATGTGCTCAGGTTTCTGAGTGTCCCCTTCTTTCCTCTAATGGCATGATAGGTTTGTTTTCTCTAAATCTGAGGTTTTGCCATGTTGGAAATGTATCTAAGTTTCTGTCTCACATATTTTCTAAACTCTATTTCCATTTTTTCATAGTAAATTCTTACTAAATAACCTTAATTCCAAACCAGTGCAGAAGTGCAAGTCTTTGCTATAACAAATTTCTAGGCTTCCAAGCAAAAGTTGGATTTAACCAATAACTCTTCCAGAATCAACTTGGTTGTAGTCTCTCCAATATCAGTATTAATAAATCATTCGGTGTGGTGATGGCAGTGGATTCTTTTTCTTTCATTGTCTGTCCCCACAGCTCCGACACACTGTTAATAGGATTATTTCAAGCTCCAAAGTCTATTTAAGTGCCACACCTACACAAGTACTTTAATTCACGAGAATTTGCGATTTTAAAAGGTTTCTGTTTGGTGACCCTAAAGTAGAGTTGCCAAGGTCAGCAAATAAAAATACAGGACGCCTGAATTTGAATTTCAAATAATAAATAATTTTTAATATATGCAATATTTGAGACATACTCATACTTAGAAATTGTTTACCTGAAATTCAAATGTAACTGGGCATCCTACATTTCATCTGGTAACCCAATCTAAAAAATAATTCCTAAGAATCTATTACTTATAACAATAAAGGGATCACTTCTTGCTGTGCATGAGACCAGAGCCATTTTACAACAGAAGGCAGGTGAAGCAACATATCCTAAAAAGATCCAGTCATTAAATTGTCATAGAATCTTAAAAAGTCTGTATGAGTAGGGAGGCTATTCTTGAAATAATTCAGTAGTAGTGAAGGTTTGGTCCAAGTTTTCTGGGTAATGCGCTCTTGGTTTTATGACTCCTAGCAGATCCATGAGTATGACAGTAAAATGTATTTGTCCTATCAAATAGGAAGTGGTGAATGGGCTGCACAGACAATAAAGATAAGTCAAGTGGCACGTTCTGGCAGGGTGGAATGAAAAAGAGAACATTTACCTTTCTCATCCTCTAATAACTGGTGTCCAAGCTACCCAATCTGTGACACTGATCCACAACACAATAAGGACTTTCTTTAAAATAAAGCTTTTATACATAGCTATCCACATATGTACAAGCAGCTCTTAAGGCCAGAGAAGTTCATTCCAAATTTTAGAGCCGAAGAGGCTCTACAGATTACATGGAGTTTCAACCAGTGATTAAATCTGAGGTAACAGCATCTGAGGCTCAGCCTTAGCACTGAGAGGGGTTGGAGGGGAAAATTAAGTCAAGAGTAAAATCTTCACGTTTTGAAAATAACAGTGGCAAAACACAACATTCCTGGACTGCGGGGAAATAAAATTGAGAGGGGCATGATTAGAAGGAAACCTCTAGAATTCTACTAATTCCAAGTTCCTCAAATGGGTACAATTGGTGACAATCTCAGGGTCACCTGTCATAGCATCAAAGTTTGACAGAGAAGGATGACCCACAGGAGCAGCCTTGCTGTGCCTGAGGATTGTTCAACACTTGAAATGAGCTTCGGATCAGTTCTTGGCTGAAGTCCACCTGGGCCCCTTTCACGAAGGCCAAGCTATCAGAGTCAACCACCACTCTTGCCCCACCCTGTTCAAATACTCTGAAAAGACAAGAGGAAAGCATTAATGAGTATCACAAACACCACAAAAGTCACCCGAGACCAGAGGTGCACATCATCTGTTTTCTAAAATACAGAGGGAGCTTCCCGATTATCTCTAATAGGTGCTGATTTTCTTTGAGGCAAAATAATTCAACGGAACAGATACTGGGAACCGTTTAGGGACTTAGGCCTAGAATCTAGCCTGGCCTGACTTTCCACCGACTACCCAGTGGACCTGGGCAGGCCAGTTTTCCTCCTATAACTTAGTTATTTTGATTCAGGACAACAAACCTTTACTGCATCCTCACTGCGAGACAGGCGGTGTTAACCATTCCAGGTAAACCCTTTACATTTGTAATAAAAGTGCACCTTAAATAGGAGACACTTTTATCCCTCCCGTACCTCCTCTGGGGACCCACCCCTTCCTGCTTGCCTGTCGTCGGGGTTGATAACTGTATCCAGTGAAAATTTGTATTGGAATCCGGAGCATCCACCTCCCTCCACCTGTAGCCTGAGGAATTCTGACCCTTCGGTGATTTCCAAAAGCCTCTGAAATGTAGGAAGGGGGATCAAGAATGCCGGGCAAGGGGAGTTAAAGGGCTGGGTGAAGAGCAGTTCCCGCTGCTCCGGCCAATCGCCTGGGTACCGCCGCCCCGCGCCCGGCCTCCCACCTGGACGCAGCTGTCCGTGAGGCGGATCTGCCCTTCGCCGGCCTCGGGGCTGGAGGACGACGCTTCCCGACGCGCCGGGAGTACCAGGGAGGCCGCAAGGAGCCTGCGCGCAAGGGAGGAGGGTGAGCCCGGGGGCAGGAACACCTAGCCACCCTCGACCTGGAGCGCCTAACGCTAAGCCTGGTGACCCCAACCTGGACGGCCTCCCACAAAACCCTCACCTCCCCCACAGGCCTTAGTTTCCCATTTGTCTTACAGGTGCAGAACCAAACACCCTTTCCAGGTGCCTTTCTAGTCTTCGTACCTGCCCTTCGGCCAGTGAGTGACGGCTCTCTGCGTCGCGGCCGTTAGAGACAACCCCCGGGCAGCAGCCATCTTCCTCTACAAGCTCCGCCCCTCGCGTCTGCTCTGTTTCTCACCCGGGGCCTCGGGAGGCGGGGAGAACGAACAGGCGGCCGGGACCTCACGGAGGCCCCGCCCCCAACATGTCTATTGGATACTGCAGGAGGAGAAGGGGTCTGATTGGTTAGAAATGCTCCCGACGGCGGCAGCGGGGACGCACCCATAAAGTCGGGGAGGAGCTCTAAAGGGAAGGAACGGGCCGGGGAGTAGCTAGGCGGGTGAGGCGGAGGTGGGTCCCGGCGGGCCTGGCCTGTGAGGGGACGGCATGGGCGGAGACTACCGGCTTCTGGGCCCGACTGGGCCGGAGCTGGCTCCCCCGAGCCGGAGGCGGGGCGCGGGCGGGCGTCAGCCACGGTTACTGGTGACAGGTCGCCTGACTAGGCTCCTCCCCGGGCCCGCCCTCACAGGTTTGTCTTGTGACCGCGGGCGGCTGCCGCTTCTTCCCCGAGCTTGGAACTTCGTTATCCGCGATGAGTTTCCCGGCCGCTGCATTCCTGCTCTTGGCGTTCAGCGCAGCCGCTCAGGCCGAACCAGTGCAGTTCAAGGACTGCGGTGAGCCCCGGGCCCGCCCCGAGGTTCCCGCGCCCTCTGCGGAAGCCCCCGTCGGACCCTCGCGCTGAGACCCCCCCGGGCTGGGTTGGGCGGGTCCCTCGGGCGGCCAGGCTCAGCCCTGGACCCTAACTGGAGTGGGCTGGGTGGGGGGAGAAGGCGCCGGGCTTCATGAAACCGGACCACACACAACTTTTGTCTTTTTCCTTAGAACACGTGTTTTGGAGTTTCTGAAACTCCAGGAGGGGGGCCTTTTGCTGAAGTTTCCTAAAGTTTGTAGGGCAGACAACAGAAGGGCTGTATCCAGGGCCGGTGGAGGAGTGGCGCACAGAACTTCTTTTTATTTATGCTTTGGAATCCCACCTCCCCCTTCTAACTCCCTTTGCTTTTCTTTTAATTTCCCTTTTGCTGATAAGTCAAAAGTCAATTTCCCTTTTTCATCATTTATTGTTATAAATAACACTTCCTTTGGGCTAGCTATGGAATCTTGTGATTCTTAATCAGTTTTTCCTTGTATAAATTTCATTGTGTCTCTAATCACAGCTTGTGACACATAACTCCCTCTCGCCGCTGTGGTTGGAATCTTTGTTGGAATATACAACAGTGGTAGAAATTCTGAGTGCCTTCATTGAGTCGAGTCTATAGAATTGTCGGAACAGAACCCGAGCAATTTTGTTCAGAGGTGGAGGTGGAGAAATGCAACTATCAATGAAAGAGGCATGAAACCGATTTGTAAGATCTGTGAGTGGAAAGGAAGCACGGAGATCATATAGTGAATCATTGAATTCCAGGGATATTGGGTAGCCTACCTAAAGTCACGCAGCAGAATGGGAAACCAGAGTAAGTGTGACTGCCCAATGGGTTCACCTTGCTCACTGCCCTTGACAGAGCCGATTTATCAAGACAGGGGATTTGCAATGCGAAAACGCAGAGCTGGCTGTGAGGGAGACCGGAGTTTTATTGTTACTCAAATCAGTCTCCCCGAGCATTCGGGGACCAGAGTTTTTTATTTTATTTTTTATAATGGTTCTTTTATTGCTTCTAGTATCAAGATTATTGAGAAGTCAAATGAAGCTATGCTGACTTTATGATTCAAAAATTATCTTCCAAACACTTAACGATTATAATTTACGATAAATAACAAAGAAAGCAAACCTTTTGTAATATGACTTTCAGTAGAGTTTTTAAGGATAATTTGGCCAGTATGGGCTCGGAAAGTGGGGAGTGCTGATTGGTCGGGTTGCAGATAAAATTATAGGGGGTCGAAGTCAGTTCTTCTTGCTGACTTCTGGGTGGTGTAATTTGCTGCATCGGAATGCAGGGTCTGCAAAGTATCTCAAGCACTGACCTTAGGTTTTGCGATAGTGATACTATTACCGGGAGCAGTTTGGGGATGTTCAGACTTTTGCAGCCAGAGGTTGCACGGCCCCTAGATCATGATATCTATCCTTGTAGCTAATCTCTTAGTCCTGCAAAGGTAGACTTGTCCCCAGGCAAGACTTGTCCCCCCTTTTCCTTTTTCAGGAAAGGGCTATTATCCATTTCCTTTCAGAGTTGAAACTATAAATTCCTCTCCAAAGCTAATTCAGCCTACACCCAGGAATGAACAAAGACAGTTTTGCGGTTAGAAGGAAGATGGGGTAGGTTAGATCTGATTTTTTTTTTCCTGACATAATTTCCTCAGTTATGATTTTTGCAAAGGCGATTTCATAAGTTTGCTGCTTTATATCCAGTGCCCAGGTAATAGTAACTGCTCAATGAAATGTGTTGAAAACATAGATGGAATTATTTTAGATGGAATTACTTTTTCCCCTATGTCATAACAATTCATGTTGAGGCAAAAGCAAAGTTGGGGATTAGGGGACAGGATTGATTAAGGAATAGACTGCTGGCCTACTAACACTTAAATGCCATTGATTCAGGAGACTGGCACTTGAAAGCTATTATCACTTCCAATTACTGGCTTTCCCTTCATTGAACTTAGTGGCCGGCATGTGGATGAGGAAACTCTTAATTTTAATAACTCATTCCATCCTCACAAGCTACCTTACAGAAGAAGAAAGTGAAGCACATAGAGTAACTTGCCCACATTGTCACACCCACTAAGTGGTAGGAAACGTGGATCTTTGTGAGCCACTTTGGGTTTCCAAAAAAAGAAGGAAAATAAATCCAGAAATTATTCTATCCATTTGTAAAAGCAGGAGTACACCCATGGGAAGAAGTTTTTAAAGGGAAGGAGGGTTTCAGCTGCAGATTTTTAATTTACTTTTGAATTGGGAAACATGATGTAAAAACTTCAGCGCCCACATCAAAAGATTTTTGTGTTCCACTCTACACCCACCTTCCCTGGGGTGGGATTTCTTCAAGTGAGAAATGGGGCTAAGCAAACTAGTTTCATAATGTTTGCAGGTTACAGCTGAGGAGTTTGTTCTATTGACACTGGAAGTCTAAGAACCTCTTGTCAGCAGAAAACTGGATGAAAGAGTTACAAGTACTACCCTTTACTTACTTCCTACTAGATTATGTAACCTAGCCTTGAAAGAAGCAGGTAGAAGCTGGACATTGAAAGCCTTAACATTAGTACTGATTTTCAATAGATTGTTGATTGAAGTTTGGGATTTTTTTTTTTTTTTTTTTTTTCTATTCACCAAAAATGGGTTGGAGTGGAAGAGAGTGCTTCTCAGACTGTTTTGGATGCTTAAGAGTGTATACAGTGTGAGAACTTTGCTATGATGGAGAAGCAGGCTGAGGGGTAAAGGATTGCAAGGTACTATTTACCGACCTAGCTGGAGCAGTGTTGGTCAATGTGATGATAGAGTTAAAGAGACTATTCTACCCAAGGGCAGCCACAGGCAGCAAAGAACATCTACTTGGATTTCTCAGTTCATCTCATTCTTTTATAGTACTGAGCTAATCTGGTGACTGACTGCATAGCAGATAAAGTACTCTCAACCTGCAGTTTGCCTCTGTCTTCATGCATTCTACTTTTGAGACAAAAAGTCCATCCTGTTGGCTGGAAACATAATGTCTATCCACGGAGTATATTTGAAGTAAAAGGCCAGCTTTTGTGTCAGAAGGGAACTTGCTAACCTACCCAGGAGGAGCTCCTCTAGATTAAATTCATGATGTGGTAATAATAATAAATATATATCACTGTATTCCAAACACTTATCTAAGATCCGTATTTATTTTAGCTCAGCTACTCTAGTGTCCCCAGAGAGGTTAATTATCTTGCCTTGAGACTATACAGTAAGTAGCAGAGATAGTGAGATTTCAAACCCAGGCATCAGGCACCAGAGTCTGCCTCTCAGCAATGATGGCTGAATGGCCAAACTGAACTTACCCTGTTACAGGCACTGTTACCAGGTAGTTCACTTCTATTCTGTCCCATTCAACTGCCCAGTCTCTGGGGCCTGGATGAGGAAATGGGATTTTTAAAGACTTTATTTAAACTTTTTTTGGTCAAGCATTTATTATATACAAATAGTACTTTTGTCCTTGGTTAGACTGAGATTAAACCAAAAAAAAAACCCACACACTTATTTTAGAGAACACAGGTTCCTAAAATCGAGTATACATCTGTAGATTGCAGATGTGTGCTTAAAATTGTTCTCATTGATAGTGGTATACAGTCACAGTTTGGAGACCACAGATTGGAGAGACACTAGAACGAGACTGAAAGATGGTGGGGAGAGGTAGGAACAGTTTTGGAGAGCCAGCCTCAAGATTCCACATGGAAATGGTAGCTGTATGATTTGAGTGATGGCTTGTGCCACATGTGTGCTGCTTTAAATCTGGTGTTGAGAAGGGAGGAAGGGTGAGGGTATGACTGTCCTGATACACCCCGCCCAGGATACAGAGCAGGGGAGCTGGCTCTGTGTACTTCATCATTTGGTCAGTTCTCCTTTACCTATCAAATATGAAGAGTTTTTAGTTCGGAGATTTATAGAGAGTGTCTAGCGTTACTCTTCAGTGCTTTATTCTCTTCTATTAAAGACTCTCGAGCTATACCTAGTTTATGAATCATAAATCAGTCTTTGAAACTGCTTGGAAAAAACAGGTAAGCAGATGAATCCTATTTCTTTTTTTAAAAGTTTTTTAATTTTTAAAAACTTTTTCTCCCCAGTGGATGTCTGGAGGAAAAAAAAGAAAAAAGAAAAACCTTTATTTGTTTTGAGACTTCCCAGGGATAAATCCTGTTTTTGACTCTTTCTAGTACCTTCCTACATCTTACCCTTATTTTTTAAACATATGCAGCATTTGCAGATATATCATTCCAGCAGCTATGTAGACCTTGGCCAAGTAAATATTTCGGAGGAAATGAAACCCAGACTCAGGTAGCAGTATTCTTCTTTAACACAGCTGGCACTTCTGCCATCTTGGCTGTGTGAGTCAGCACTGTTTGGAGTTAAGTTTAACTTGTGCCCTAAGCTTGTGTTGAAACTATAAAGACCTTAACCTCTGTCGTCCTCTTCAATCCCCTTGATTCTTGGAAAAATCCAAGTCTTAACAACTGTAGTCAAGATTTAAGGCACTTCATGTTGTTTTTGGAGCCAGAATAGTTCATGACTCATAAGTGGGCCTTAAAGAACAGGACTAAATAATTGAAGAAACTGCAGAAGTGCAGTGGAAATGGTGCAGTTCCCAGCTCAGAAGTGGAAGGTAGTTCCTCTCTTAAGGGTCATTCTTAGTTCAGAGGTGAGGTAGTTCTTCTGTTTAGGGTCATTCCTCTATTAAGTGTTAAGTGGTAGTTCCTCTTAAATTCCATAGTCCACTTACTTGGAAGTAAGTAGGCTTCTGGAATCAGCCTCTTTGGTTTTTTATTTTATTTTATTTTATTTTTTGTTATGGTGTCTGCTCTGTTGCCCAGGCTGGAGTGCAGTGGTGCAATCTCAACTCACTACAGCCTCTGCCTCCTGAGTTCAAGCGATTCTCCTGCCTCAGCCTCCTTTGTTGCTGGGATGACAGGCGTGTGCCACCACACCCGGCTAATTTCTGTATTTTTAGTAGAGACAGGGTTTTGCCATGTTGGCCAGGCTGGTCTTGAACTCCTGACCTCAGGAGATCCACCTGCCTCAACCTCCCAAAGTGCTGGGATTACAGGCATGAGCCACTGTGCCCAGCCAAATCAGCCTAATTTTAAAAGCCAAGACTGGATATTCTGATACTTTGCATTGTTTCATCCATCCCTTTAATAGTACTGCTTATTTCTCTAGGAAGTCAGGTTGGGGTGAAAAAATGAAGAGATTTCAAGAAGGCAAAAACTGGGCAAAGGATTTACCAGAAGTTTAAGGGAAAAGGTACAAAATCTGGATAGAAGATATTAATCACTGAAAATCACAGAGGATATAGGGGTTGAACCTCTAAGATAGAAAGAGAATCATGGTGAGGGGCAAAGAGGTGATGCTGAATTCAGAAACCTGAAAAGTTGAGTTTGAGCCTGGATTTTTATCCAGAGTCCTCAAGTTGTTATCAGATGGGAATTTCCTTGAGGTATCTTCCATTCGTCACCATGGCTATGTATTTAAAGCTTCCTAGCTTCCTTCAGGTTCCAGTGACAAGGGCTTCCAAGTCAGGCCCATCCATTGAGTCCTGGATCTGCCCCTTCCAGGCAATTTGACCTTGGACAAGTCTCAGTAATCTTTGCTCTTCTGGCTTCTAACCCCTAAAACCAGGGTGATAAAACCCATTGTTGTGAGATGTTTTCTTTCAGATGCCTCTGTTTTCCTTCATCCTTGCTACTCAAGGTACAATTTCCATAGGGTCTAAAAATGAATGATTCAGAAACTAAAAACTCTTGAAGCCACATTCAAGAAAGGTTCAGTCTGTTCTGGGATCTGGCAGACTTTCCAACCAATAGTAACAGACTCCCTAAATCAGTGTTTGCACTGTAGAACTTGGGGTAGAAAGATGGTATAAGTCATTTCTGGTCTTCCTCCTCGGAGGTTCAGGTTCTAGGTTTGCTTTCTAGCTATTTCTGCATAAAGTACGGCTTTTGGCCATGTGCAGTGGCTCACACCTGTAATCCCAGCACTTTGGGAAGCTGAGGCAGGCAAATTGCTTGAGCCCAGGAGTTTGAGATCAGTCTGGGCAACGTGGTAAAACCCTGTCCCTGTAAAACACAAAAATTAGCCAGGTGTGGTGGTGCGTGCCTATTGTTCCAGCTACTTGGGAAGATGAGGCAGGAGGATCACTTGATCCTGGGAAAGTTGAAGCTGCAATGAACTGAGATTGTGCCACTGCATCCAGCTTGGGTGACAGAGACCTTGTCTCAAAAAAAAAAAAAAAAGTCCAGTTTTTCCGGTCGTGAACAACTTTCATCAAATTTACATTCTAATCTATGTACTAGAAAAAGAAAGGGAAAATGGAATATCTGAATCAAAAGGAAGGTTGAAGCAAACATTTTCAAGGTTTAGGTTAAAACCGTGACCCTTACCATTAAGAATGCAAGACAAGACTCTAGAAACATTTGGAGTTTCTCCAAATAATATGATCTTTAATATAATCATTTATGGATATAGTCTCAATATTATTTAGTTTGACAAATATTAACTTTCTCTTGGTCAGAACACCAGCTAGCTTCTTTATCATCTGAATTAGAGGCTATGATTTCAGCAGCAAGATGACTTCTAATTGGGCATTATTTTTAAAGGTTCCATCCTGGGAAGCAGTCCAAGGAGAACGAGTTCACCCTAACTGGGAGAGCAGAGCACCTTCCCATTTGGTAGTGGACAGTCTAGCTGGTTTACTTCTCCTCCTATTCTCCTATTCAATTCATTTTTCTTTTGCAGGTTCTGTGGATGGAGTTATAAAGGAAGTGAATGTGAGCCCATGCCCCACTCAGCCGTGCCAACTAAGCAAAGGACAGTCATACAGTGTCAATGTCACCTTCACCAGCAGTGCGTAAAATGACTCTTACCTCAAATTCATGTTAAAGCATAACCTAAATATCAAATGTTGGAATGAGTGTGAGAATGGAGGGGAGGGGGATTGGCAGTCACAAATTCTATGACTTCTTTTGCAACTCGTGCAAAGCTGGGATTCATTGTGCCCTTGGACAACCTTTTCATACAGGGTCGATGGCTCCCAGATTCCCTTTAAGCAAACAGGGAGATGTCCATGTGTCTCAGGTTAGAGAAAACAGCTTGGCTTTTATCTGTCATGTCTTGACCCATATTGTATACCAGGCTTTGATGGAAATGTCAGCTCTGTTTAGCTACAGACTGCAGAGTGTTAGTATGGACCTTAATTCTGCAAGCTTTAGAACTCCTCCAAATTGTTATTTTAAGCAGTAATATCTTTCAGCTATTAAGTCTACATTACACCTGAAAATAAAGGTGCAATTAATACTTAACAGCCTCCTTAAGATTTAGGGAACCCACTGGGGACCCAAGAAACAGCCAAGAAATCTGAGCTTTCTTCAGTAATATTCCAGAAATATTATTGGAACTTGTTGCTTTCTTGTACCACATGACTTTGAGCTTGGTAAGAATCTAGACAAATGTAAAATCTTTATTCCTAAGGAGGGCATCTTCCTTTAATCCTTTCCTCATTTTCTGTACTGTAAAACTAGACTAGACAGTCTAATAAGAAACCTCAAAGTTCCTGTTATCATTTGTTCATAAGCCTAAAGACAGCTCTAAGTACTAGCTCCCTATTTTCTCTCTGGACTATAAACAAAACAAACAAACAAAAAAGCCTTTTAAACAAGTCATCCCCAACCCAGACAGAAAGACACAGAACCAATTTTCTGGATCTCCAAAATACCCTAATAGCTCATAAATCTGATTGCCCTAATTTTATACCTTTATTCCTCCTGGCCATCTTGTGATGTGGACGGTAAAGTTTATGAAGAAATGCATGTCTTTCTGATCTTACCCAATTTCTTTCTTTTTTTTTTTTGAGACGGAGTCTCACTCTGTCACCCAGGCTTTAGTGCAGTAGTGCGATCTTGGCTCACTGCAACCTCTGCCTCCTGGGCTCAAGTGATTCTCCCATCTCAGCCTCCTGAGCAGCTGGGATTATAGGCATGCAGCACCCAGCTAATTTTTGTATTTTTAGTAGAGACAGGGTTTCTCCATGTTGGCCAGGCTGGTCTCAGACTCCTGACCTCATGTGATCCACCCACCTCAGCCTCCCAAAATGCTGGGATTACAGGCATGAGCTATTGCACCCAGGCTAATCTAACCCAATTTATAAAGGGTTACCTCTTTCACTGTTGTTACAGACCATGACATTCAAGACACACAATATACTTTGACAGAAGCTGATATAAATAGCAAACAAAGTTTACTGCCGAAAATCAGTGGCCTCGTTGGATAAGGTTATTTATCCAGGTATCTCTGATTCTCCTAAGAAACTATGAAGGGCCATGAAAAACAAGGTTAAGAGCAAAGAAAACAACTGCTGATTGCTTTTTTTTTTTTTTTTTTTTTTGCATAATTAGGTTTGGAGTAAATGCTTGCACTGTGCTAATACCAAGCACAACTACAGAGAGAAATAGGCCCTAAGAATCTGTTGCTTGTGATTATTTCTGAATTTTCGATTTAGAGTTTGAAAATAGGTTGTTTTCTTTGCATCTGATTCTCTCTTTTTTCTCTTAGATACTCAATCTAAAAGCAGCAAGGCCGTGGTGCATGGCATCCTGATGGGCGTCCCAGTTCCCTTTCCCATTCCTGAGTCTGATGGCTGTAAGAGTGGCATTAACTGCCCCATCCAAAAAGACAAGACCTATAGCTACCTGAATAAACTACCAGTGAAAAGTGAATATCCCTCTGTAAGTGATACCATTGTTGAGCACACGAGAGGGCTTGGGTTAGAGATCAGAGGGCAGCGGGCAAGAAGCAGAGACAGGGTAAAGGGCTCCTTATCTCTATGATAAAGAAGCGGAAGCCTGAGAGACAGGAAATAGCTGGGAGCGTTAGGTGTCAGGAGGTAGGGCAGATGTTTTTCTCTGTGTCTCTTCATTCTTTCACTATGACCTGATGGCCTCCCATGCATCAGCTGCTCCCACACCTCATCCTGCTCCGAGCCAGGTGGAAGGGAGGGTGGCTTCTCCCATGGGGACCCATTATGCCTGGGCATAATGATGCCATTTTTTTTTTTCAAAAATGTACTAAAATTTAATCATCCATAACAGCTGTAATTTAATCTGTCATTAAAACACAAGAAGCAATATTAGAGTTGGTTTAGTATATTGTATATTTTAGCTTTGAAAGCCATAGAACTGTTATCTCAGGGTTTTTTTTTCCCTGTAAGAGACCCCATTTCTCCAAAGCATTATGCACAATTTTAATTAGAATATAATGACAGATAATATTCCATAATTTTTTTTTTTTTTTTTTTGAAACAGAGTCTCACTCTGTATCCCAGGCTGGAGTGCAGTGGCGAAATCTCGGCTCACTGCAGTCTCTGCCTTTCTGGTTCTGGTTTAAGCAATTCTCCTGCCTCAGCCTTAGGAGTAGCTGGGATTACAGGCACATGCCACCATACCCAGCTAATTTTTGTATTTTTAGTAGAGTTGGGGTTTCACCATGTTGGCCAGGCTGGTCTTGAACTCCTGACCTCGTGATTTGCCCACCTCAGCCTCCCAAAGTGCTGAGATTATAGGCGTGAGCCACTGCGCGTGGCCGACATTCCATAATTTTTAAAATATAAAATGAAGTCAGTGACTCAAAAAAGTTATCTGCTGCAATGAGTTTGAGGGGACATCCTAATCAATATCATTATAGATATAAAGTATAATGGTTCAACATTATCATGCTTGATAGGGAGGAATCATGATAAAAACGTCAATATGAAATCATCTGACTATAGTAGCAAATATCTAACATTTGAAATGCATCCATGCTCTTTTGCATAATCATATTAGAGCCAAGTATATTTTCATATCTATCATGTCTTATTTTCCAAGAGATGTACACAGAGCAATTTTTTTTCTCCAGGGAACTTGTGCAAACCAATATAAGATCTAAATTTTTCCCATAATATATAAAATAGGAGAAGCCTCTTCAGATGTATTTTTTGAAGTCTGGAGTGCTGGCATTTTCCAGTTAGGCAATAGTTCTCCATTCCTGCAACCTGGCTGAGAGCTGCTGCTGACTATGGGCCTAGAGCAGCAGGCGTGATTTCTTTTTAAGCTTCTTCTTTTCCATTGGTGTTTTTCTATTTATCTGTCTGACTAGGTCATAAACTATCTCATTAACATTGATCTTTGACTTTGCAGAAGATCCTAAAATGGCACAGTTACACCACCGTCTTGCTAAATTCTGACCCTGTTCTTTGCCAACTACTCGCTTATCTTCCAGGTCACATTTATTGCCAACAAAAATCATTGGAACATCTTCTGTGTCCCTAACCAGTAAAATCTGTTCCCTGTAAGTCATTAAATGTGGACTGAGCTGTAATAGAATATGATACTGCAAAACCTAGGGCATTCTTCATATACAAATCCCTCATTACCGTGAATTGCTCTGTCCCTGCAGTATCTAGGATTTTAAGCGTACACTGTTGGCAATCAATTTCAACTTGCTTTCTGTAGGGATCTTCTATCGTTGGGTCATATTTTTCCACAAAAATTCCCTGAACAAACTGAACCATCAGAGCAGACTTCCCAATGCCTCCTGAACCAAGGACCACTACCTTGTACTCATGCATGATGTGGTCTGTTTAAATAATGACGATCCCCCAGTCTGGGTGCCGCCGCCGCCTTCTCCTCCCCTCCCACTCCCACTTCTCCCCCTCCTCCTCCCCCTCCTCCTTCCCCTTCTCCTCCTCCCCATGTTCCTTCCCCTGCTCTCCACTGTGGCTCCTGCTCCAGCTCTACAGTAACAGCCGATGCCATTTTTATATACCATATTTCATTTGGTTCTCATGACCATCCTATGTAGAGATTATTTTATCTCTATTTTACAGCTGAAGAAATTGGAGCCTCTGAGGTCATGCAATATGAACAGAGTCCACTCCACAAAGAAGTAGTACAGCCCAGGTTTTGAGCTGGGTCTTATAACTCCAAAGCTTGTACAATGTTAAAAGATTTTAGCCAGGTACCAAACAGTTAAAGATCCAAATTATCTTAACATTGTCATTAGAAAATCCTGGTTTCTCCATTAATCTCTTAACAAAACAACAGAGCAGCAGTTTGGTAGCTCCATGGCAGAGCGGTAGCTTTTTCCACCCTCCTTCCTCCCCTCCAATCCCCACCTTCACTTCCGACCCACCCCTGCTGTATCTACCTCTTTTTCTACCAAGCACTTGTAAGGTAGATCCTGCTGGAGTGGACCTGTATTAAAGATATGAATTTTGGTAAGAATAGAGGAAATAAAGCCTTTTTCCGTGAAGAAAAAGAGCCACATTTCTTGAAAGGAAATCAACTAGAAGTTAGGAGCAATATCTGGCCATTTATTTTCTAGGAAAGGTAAGTAATTAAAGGACATTCTAAAGAGCCTCAAATATAGGGTGTCTCTGCTGAAGGGATGTTGGAGGCCTTAGAGGTGAGGGACAGATTTATAGATGAATTTGCAGAGTACCCATATAACCATGGGCATGTTTGAACCTCAGTTACGTATGCAGTGACTAGTCAGAGCCTGATATGTAGTAGATACTTAATATATGGTAATTATTGTCTGTTAAATGAACTACATTTAATCTGAAAAACAGTTCAAACTCTTTAAGCACTAAATGAAGCAGCAGTTAATATATACTAGTCTGGAAAAACTCACAAGTTTCAAGAACTTGAGGATCATTGCCACTCAAATGTTCCATTGTGAAGAAACGTTACAGTATAAAAGAGAAGTAGTAACTAGTGATAAGTAAGCTAATGTCCACATAAGAAAGGACCTGCAGAGTGTCAGTGAGTTATTAAGAATTGGAAGGGACGGCTCACATGGTATGAATGTAACAAGTCAAGGCAGGAATTTCTGATAGAGTACATTATTCAAAGCAGTTTAAGGGCGTTAACTGAAAGTATATTGCTACAAAGGTTTGTCATCCTTAAAACGATTCATACAGCTACAGACTTCTCTGAGCCATCCTTTGTGCTTTGACATTCCCATTTCTAGCTAACAAGAAAGTTTCCTTATACCTAAGAATCTAATTTTTTTTTTACTCTCTGCTCTTCATGGGTACATTGGAGAAAAGCTGGATCAGATTGCCAAATACATGAGAAATTGGCCGGGCGCAGTGGCTCAAGCCTGTAATCCCAGCACTTTGGGAGGCCGAGGCGGGTGGATCATGAGGTCAAGAGATTGGGACCATCCTGGTCAACACGGTGAAACCCCGTCTCTATTAAAAATTAAAAAAAAAAAAAAAATTAGCTGGGCATGGTGGCGCGTACCTGTAATCCCAACTACTCGGGAGGCTGAGGCAGGAGAATTGCCTGAACCCAGGAGGCAGAGGCTGCAGTGAGCCGAGATCGCGCCATTGCACTCCAGCCTGGGTAACAAGAGGGAAACTCCGTCTCACCAAAAAAAAAAAAAAAAAAGAAAAAAAAAAATGAGAAATTGCTTAAATGCAAAATTATTCATGTAAGCCTTCATGTGTTAGTTCATTTGCACTGCTATCAAGGAATACCTAAGAGTGGGTAACTTACAAAGAAAAGAGGTTTGATCAGCTTGTGGTTCTGCAAGCTGTACATGAAGCATAGTGCCAGCATCTGCTTCTGGTGAGGCCTCAGGAAGCCTGCTGTTATGACAGAAGGCAAAGCGGAGCCAGCGTGTTGCATGGCCAGCACTGGAGCAACAAAGAAAAGAGGGAGGTCCCAGATTCTTTTAAACAGCTAGATCTCGTGTGAACTAAGTGAGAACTCACTCATCGCCAAGGGGATGGTGCTAAGCCATTCATGGAGGGATTCGCCTCCATGATCCAATACCTCCCACTAGGCCCACCTCCAACATTGGAGGTCACATTTCAACATGAAATTTCAAAGGGACAAATATCCAAACTATATCACTTCATTTATGTGCCATTGATCTAAGAAAAGAATGCTTTCGAAATTACATTTGATAAATTAACCGAGTTAGTATATGGTACTGCTAGCATCAAATTGTAAGTATAATTTCGTTCAGTCTCTTAAGGCCGTAGGCTGTGCCTCCATGCTAAGCAGCCTTCATTATTTAAGAAAAAAAGTATGAGGAGTTAGGAAGTTTGCTACTACATCTAGGATTTATAGTTAAGCCAATTATGGATAGAGGTCAAGTCCTATTTTCATTTTTCTCAATTATTTTTCTCTTTCTCCAGATAAAACTGGTGGTGGAATGGCAACTTCAGGATGATGCAAACCAAAGTCTCTTCTGCTGGGAAATCCCAGTACAGATCGTATGTCTCTCTGGGGTTGAGAGGGCATGGGTGGAGGGAGGAAAGAATTGGAGGATAAATCACACCTGAAACTAAATCAGTGCCTAAGGTGAAAGGAATTTCAAGACTGCTGTTTTATGTCTCTCAGCCTGTAAAAGCGTCAAAGACCCTATTTCCTGAGAGCTCAGAACTGTTGCCTTTGTAATATCCTTTGTAAAAAAGGTTGAAGGAAAGAAGAGAGAGTGGGACTATAGGGATTGATTTAACTGTCTTCGTTGGTTTTTGCTATTAGAATAAGGAAGGTCCAGCCAGACAGGACCTGAGGGAGGTTGCTTAGGGATGTCTAATAACTTGCCCTAGGGTTATTGCCCTCACAATGGAGGAAAGGTTCCAAAACGCTTCCATTGAGCTGGAACATTACATCCACAGGTTACTCATCAAGTGCCTCATTGAGTTCAGTGCATCTGGCCAACGAGTCTGCTGACTCTTGACAGCACCTTCAGCTCTGCTGCTTCAACAACAGTGACCTGCTCTCCAATGGTATCCAGTGATTTCGTTGAAGAGGAGGTGCTCTGTGGGAGAAACTCAGCTCTGGATGGCTGGTTGTCAGGGGCTGTCTTATGTTTCTTTTTCTATCTTAGGTGGTTTTCATTAAATGTAGCACTTGGTTAACAGATGTTTAATTTTCTTTTTTTTAACATGTGGCCTCTTTCTACACCTGGAAGTGTACCCTTGAATAAATAAAAACTCGTTTGTCTTGTCTTCTGCATGTGGGCTGTGGTCTTCTGCTCTTTCAGAGTACGTCCTGCTAGAACCATGGAAGTCAGTCTCCCAGTTCCATGGTCCCAGAGTGCACTGAAGATGTGACTTTTTCAGAAACTTTTTTTCCCTCCTTTTTGCCCAGTAAGACCATATCTGTTTTATATGAAATGGCCTTGTTTTGCTTTATTTTACACAGTCTTATACTACCAAGCGCTTGAAAGAAGCAGTGAACGTAAACATCACCTGGTTGAATAATAGTGCCTGAAAGGTTGAAGGAACTGAATTTGGTGGGGAGGGCAGGTAGGAGAGTAGTGGGGTTAGGGATTACAGGTTAGGATGAGGCATGGTGATCTTTTGGGAACCCTCTGCCATGAAGAAAGCATACAAGCTTAAAGATGAAATATGAAGTTGTAGCAAGTAGTGGCTACATTAAGTCTTGGAGTTTCCTACCCTTAAAGTACAAGTACAATCATAGGTATATATTTTTCCATCTATTTTGAGTCGGTATACTAGCAGTCAGCTCTTAGATAGCCAGGGATTACAACCCCATTTGCAATTGAGTTGAATAACTTGGATCTTAGGTCATCTATTATTAGGTCAGGGCAAAAGGAAGGAACATTCATACAAAGTGCTTGTGAGCAAATAATTGATTTGATCCAGTTATTTTTATCCCACTAATTTTTACTAGACCCTTGTATTTCTTTGGCCTGTGAGTTTCCCAGGGAAACCACCAGGGGACAGTGATGGATCAGGAATAAGGTTATCAACAGCTAAGCTTTCCTAGTTCATGCCAAGAGCCAAACAACCACTGTACTTTTTAGCTACGATCTTGTATATCCCGTCACAGTGAGTCTAGAGTGACAGTCCACCCTGTCTCCCATACTAGACTTTAGGTGATTCAGAATTGTGGAAATTCTTGGGCTGTTAACTGTTGTACAGCCTCTGTCCTCGTACTGCGTTTGGTTGAATCCTCATGCCACCAATTAACAGGACTACCAGTGTGATCTTGAAATCACTTCATCTCTCTGTGTGTCAGTTTCCTTATCTGTTAAAAAGGACTAATAATAATAGGGCTGTGAAGACTAAATTAGATGAGGCATGTAACACACTTAGAATGACCCTGGCATATAATATATACTCTAAATGTTAGCTGTCACTCTAGGAGACAGACATTGTTCTTTGTCTAGAAATAGCAGGAAAATCAGAAGCTTCCATCTGAAATGTGATGTCTCCTCAGAAGGACGAGGCTATCCTCTGTGCACAGAAACTTTCTGAGAGTCCTAGAAAAGCTCAATTAATCATGTGTCCACCATCTCCTTATTCCCAGAAGATTTCTCATGCCATGTAGCTCCTTTGAAGTTAACAGCAACCTGCCCTGTCTGTACACTCCTCTGCCCTCGTGTTAAAAGAAGACAGGACCCACACTACCGTGCAAAATGAGTACTTGCCTGTAGCTAGGAACAGTGCCTACTTCAGGGAAAATTAATTTGATACAACTGACTAGTTGAGTGTTAAACTACTTTGGAAATACTTCACATATCTAAGTCACAGAAAAATCTAAAATATATTTTTCTTTCCTCCACTTATTCTTCAAATATAAAACAATGTTTTAATATCATATCTTTCATTATTTATACCATGCATTATTTGTGAAAATTTGTTCTTAGGGACAAAATCTTACTCTTTTTATGTGTAAAGCAGGAGTAGACATAATACATAAACAGATACATATTATATATGTGGCATTAAAATTTGATGTGGTTGTTGATTAGTATTAAAAGGTCTACAAAAACTCCTTTAAGGAATGATAATGAAAAGGGTGGGGAAGCACTAAAGACAAAGAGTATACATAGATATTTTGGAAATCAAAATTAAAAAGCATTTCAGCTAGCATATATCCTTCTGTCAGAGCAAAAGGGGAAGAAAACAGGTTGTGACTGTTTGCCAGCCATCTCGAGGCTACATGGAGCCTGCAGCCGTGAGCTAGGTAGGGCTCCCTCGGGGGGATTAAGTTTGAAAGGTCGTCTTCTACAGACAGTTCACAGACGCCCCCCTGAGTCATTAAAACATGAGAAGCACTGAATCTTAGGTATATCAAAAAGGTCATCCTCTTTCCAATGACAGTCTCATGCTTTTCTAGTCCATGGAGCAGGCCTTGGAGGCTCAGACCCAGCTCTTACATGAATTCCAGGACAAATAAATCCCAGACTTCAATCGTTAAAATAATGAGGGGGTACCCCTGCTTATAGAATAGAGGGAACCCAACACTTCATATCTCCAGTTCAGGAGAAGGTTAAATGTGAAGACTGGTATTCAGTCAAATCTTCGTCCTAATAAAAAGCAACAAGCATGGAGTAATTTTAAATCCTGCATGTTTAGTTTTAAAATCTTAGTTGACTTTTTAAAAAAGGAATAGGATGTTTTTTGTTTTTAACACAAAATCTTTCAGAAAGAAACAGAGTGATCTTGATTATGCTTTGGAAAGGTAGATAAGAACAGCTCGTTCTCTGAGAACACCCTCCAGACATAGGAAGGGTGACTTGAAATAGGTGAGGTCAACTAAGAGAAGATGATCTGGGATGAGCTATTCACTTCAGATAATGCAAAAAGCAAGGGTTAAATGACTGGGTCGGTACAAGGACAGGGTCACAGTACACAGGGAAAGCATTAACACAGAAAAAGCAGTTATGTCTAAGAAAGTCCCCAAAGTGAGAGTCACATTAAACAAGTGTCTTTCCCAAGGAAGAGACAGAACAGGAAATAGAGGTTGGGGTACACATTATTTAAAGGCCTGGGACAGTCAGTTGAGGGTGTGTGTGTGTGTGTGTGTGTGTTGGGAATAGGGTTGTCGGGGAGACAGGGTTGTGTGACCCAAGGCTCTGGATCTCCACAGATGTTGCCTGAAAGTCTTTAAAGGATTTGAGTCATTTTGGGTGGTTGTGTCTTTTTCTGAAGAGAATCCCTCAGCCTATCCCTAGATTCTAAACTGAATCGGATTCACTTACAGCTGTCAGTTGACTAGCAACTAAATGGTCTGGGTGTTGGTTGCCATGGAAACAGCTAAAAGGCCCATTGCTATGGGAACCTACCAGGCTCTCTAAACCAGGGGTTTGGTTCCTAAAAAGGGGTGGAGGGGAAGGTGGAGCCCAGGACATGGCCTGAATAGGTGGCTTGAGGGTCCTGGAAGAGGGTGGGCAATGTGGGTGAGTGGGTCTGGCCAGCTCCTCACAACGGGGACAGAAGAACAGTGACCTCTTCTACTTTCTGCAGGCATTCCCCTGCCTGTTCTCTGCTCACTGCCCAATGCTAGCCACAGAGCACAGGTGTTTGCAGTTCCAAAGGGAGAATAAGGGCCTGAGATTCTGGAGCAGACCTGGCATGTCAGTGCTGCTCCCCTCACCTGTAGGGGCTCAGAGAAGGGAAGACTTGGCTCCCCTCTGGCAGGCCCTCCTCCACAAATCATACGTCCCAGATAAGCAGCCAGCAGGCAGAAAGATCAGCTTAGCTCTGACTGCCAGTGGGTAAGGCCAAGAAGGAGCCTGGCAGACAAATGGATGGCTGCTGGCCTTGAACATGGCAGAGCCGCTGGGTGTGCCAGATCAAAAAGCAGAGAGCAGGCCGGCGGCAGCGGCGGCAGCAGACTCTCTTCTCGGCACTGGAGAAATGCATTGCTCTGCCCGCTACACCCTAAACCATCCATATACCTCTGCCACAAAAGGGGATACTGCAAATGGATCAACACAGGCAAGATGAGATTTCATAAATACTCAGTGTACACACAAAATGGTTGTAAGATTCTTTTCTGTTTTGCAATCAAAGTAACTTTTACATTAGTGTTTGGTGGGAAGATGATTTTTTACTAAAACAAGAGAAAACATCCTAGGAGCTCTTCCATCCACTGTTAATGTGTAATGTACAAATGGAAGGGATTGGACTAATCGCTAAAGCCTCTCTCAGGACTAACAGCTTATGATGCATTGAGACACTGAAAGGAAGTTGAAGAACCACTGGCAAATGGACACAGACTAATTAATTGCTTTCTAGTTACTCATAACTGTGAGGGCGGGGAAAATCTCTGAACTCCAGAAGGCCTTAGGTTGGAGATGAAGGCCAAGACATTTGATTTAGAGACCATTTCGGATATGTTTGGCCCAGGGGACTTCCACTCGGTTCTCCAGAATTCTGACATGTGTGATGCTGATTTTTTTTTTTTTTTAATCCTAATCTTGCCTTTTTCCTGCTTGGAATTGTTAGTCTCAGCCCCTTCCAGGAGCTTCAGAGTCTAATAGCCTGGCATCAGAGAAAAAAGAGAGAGAAAGAAAGAGAGAGATGCCAGCAGAACTTGGACTGCTCAACAGGACAATTGAGCATTTCCCCAGAATCTGTGGGGAGGTTTTCACTTTTGGAAGCAGTAATCGTTTATAGATTTGTACGACGTTTAAATTTTTAAATACAAGCTGAGTTTATATCTCGTCTCCAACTTTTTCCAGCTGCTTGACTTTGAATATGTTTCTTAACCTCTTAAGGCCTTAATTTCCTCAGCTGTAAAATAGGATGATAAGAATATATCCACCTCGGGTGGTTCTAATGATGACATGAGGTGGGGGATGCGAAATGCTCAGTGCAGTGCCTGATGCATAATAAGCACCTGAGAAAGGTCGTTAGTATTATTATTACCATCCTAGATAAAAAAGGAAGGTTGCAGCCATGGAAACTGTGCAGTGGCCTAGAATCATAGGCTTTTGCCACGCATTTGTCTTCCAAATTTAATTCCAGGTGCGTTTTAAGACTGATGCCACAGTCCTGTTTCCCTTCATTGAGTCAGATTCTAACCCTCTCTTTTGAAGACACTTAACCACCTTCTTTTTCATCTGATTTTTGTGTGTCTGCTTACCTTCCTACTAGACTGTAAACATCTTAAGAATAGAGACTGCCAGGCCGGGCGCGGTGGCTCAGCCTGTAATCCCAGCACTTTGGGAGGCCGAGGCAGGTGGATCACGAGGTCAAGAGATCGAGACCATCCCGGTCAACACGGTGAAACCCCGTCTCTACTAAAAATACAAAAAATTAGCTGGGCATGGTGGCGTGTGCCTGTAATCCCAGCTACTCAGGAGGCTGAGGCAGGAGAATTGCCTGAACCCAGGAGGAGGAGGTTGCGGTGAGCTGAGATCGCACCATTGCACTCCAGCCTGGGGTAACAAGAGCGAAACTCCGTCTCAAAAAAAAAAAAAAAAAAAAAAAGAATAGAGACTGCCCTTTCATCTTTCAATAAATGCCTAGAACTCAGCAATAGTTTAATGAATTTTTTTTAATAGGGAAAAATGTCATTTTTCTGTAGGTTTTGGATGAGGCCATTTAACACTATAGCAGCCTTGTCTCCAAAGGGGAGAGGAGAGTAACAGTTGGCTAGACTTCATTCTCCTGAAGAACGCCACAGCATTGCCCCACCCTGAGTGGGCAGCTCTAGAGCAGGGCCAGGGCTCACATCCAGAAGCCAGCTGTCATCTGTCTCTAGGACTCATTGACAACACCAGCTTGCCTCCAGCCTGAAGGCTCCCTGGCCCTGGGCTCAGTCGGAAATGGCTCCCCCTCCCCTTCTGGCTGTTGTCTGTCTTTAGTTTAGCCAGCCTCTCCCTCCTGATCACTCCCGCTGAAGCAAGAAGCCACAAAGGTGGCTCTGTAGCTGCAAGTTGCATCAGGTTGCCTCTGGGAGAAAGAGAAGGCAGTCTGGCTTATGCAACTCTCTCTCCCCATAACCCAATCTCTGCAGTCCCTGGCTGACCCCCTCAGCTTCCCATCAGAGTTTGCCAAGGCTTGACTCAGCAGGAACAAGGCCCAAAGAGGTACACAGAGTACCTCCCAGACAGTGGCCACTGAGAACCAACTCCTTTCAAGGTGGGTAACAGAGAAAGTTCTGGGGTAAGGAGTAAAGCAGGGAAATGTAGGAGAAAAAGCCTCCAGGCCTGACTGGCCTGCCATGGGACCGTGGAGCAACCATTTAACCTCTTTCAGTTAAATACCTTGTAGAGGTGTTGTATAGACAAAAGGAAAATGGATGTGCATGTGTAGCTTGGAAATACAAAGGCTATTTGTACCAAGAATATTAATATCATAGGCTAGTGCAGAGGACTAGCAGTTAATCCTGTGGATTTTCCTACTTAGATCCCTATTGGCTTGATGAGCTGTCTGGGCACACCCACAGAAAATCTCACAAGGAAAACAAGGTCCCGGATTTGGTCACCAGAAGAACGAGGTTGAGACTGACTCAGTGAATGCCTTTCTTTGACTATAAAACATGCCTGCAATGCAGCTAGCTCTCCTGAAATATGTGCTGCTAGTTCTGAGGGTATAGGCAGCTTGGGCAGCTGTACTCTTGTATTATCCTGATCAAAGTGTAGTTGAATTTATATGGGCAGAACAGTATGCATTCCTTCAACCAATACCTATTATGTGCCAGGCACTATACTGGGCACTGAGAATGAAGAAATGAGTAAGGCATGGTCCTTCCCTTCAAGGAGCTTAGAGTCTAATGGGAGAAGGTAGCAGCAAACCATCCCTCAATCCAGTGGGACAAATTCATGACAGTCACATGTACAGAAGGCCATGACAACAGAAAGGAAGAGTACTGGGGTGATTTGCTTTGGAAGAGGCAGAGCCAGGTCAGGCTTCTGCTTAGAACGTGGCTGGAAATGGAGACATATAACCATGTACTAGGTCTTTATTTATTCACCATTCATTCAGCAAACATATCTTCTGAGATTTTTTTTTTAGTATTTCTTTTTTGACAAGAGAGTCTCGCCGGGCGCGGTGGCTCAAGCCTGTAATCCCAGCACTTTGGGAGGCTGAGGCGGGTGGATCATGAGGTCAAGAGATCGAGACCATCCTGGTCAACATGGTGAAACCCCGTCTCTACTAAAAATACAAAAAAATTAGCTGGGCATGGTGGCACGTGCCTGTAATCCCAGCTACTCAGGAGGCTGAGGCAGGAGAATTGCCTGAACCCGGGAGGCGGAGGTTGCGGTGAGCCGAGATCGCGCCATTGCACTCCAGCCTGGGTGACAAGAGCGAAACTCCGTCTCAAAAAAAAAAAAAAAAAAAAGAGAGTCTCACTCTGTCGCCCAGGCTGGAGTGCAGTGGTGTGATCTTGTCTCACTGCAACCTCCGCCTTCCAAGTTCAAGCAATTCTCCTGCCTCAGCCTCGAGAGGAGCTAAAATTACAGGTGTGCAGCCCGTGCCACCACGCCTGGCTAATTTTTGCATTTCAGTAGAGACAGGGTATCATTATATTGGCCAGGCTGGTCTCGAACTCCTGACCTCAAGTGATCCACCTGCCTTGGCCTCCCAAATGCTGAGATTACAGATATGAGCCACCACGCCCAGTCTGGAGTATTTTTTATGGTGAATTTGGTGAATTTGGTTTTATTTAAAGTTCCTCCTACTTAATTTACCCTGAAACTGAGTTAGCATACTTGGCTATGTCCTGACCCTACTGTATACTTAGCTATCATGATCTATTTGGATTTTAGAATTCTGCCCCCTTCCTCTGACTCTCCAGCCCATGTTACACCACTTCTTCTTTCTCTATGCTCCAGCAACATCGGTCTCCTTTCAGTTCCTCAAATCCCTTCCTCCAGCCACGGGACTCTCACACATGCTGCTCCACTGCCTGAAACTGCTGCCCCCCAAGTCCCTTTTCATTTAGTTAATTCCTACTCATCCTAATTTCTCCTGCAATGTCTCTTCCTCCAGGAAGCCTTCCTGACCACCTCCTCCAGATCAGATTCAGCGCTTTGCTATACATTTTCATAGCACTCTATTCTCTCCCTTCATGGCATAATTCAAAATTATACTGGCATAATTATTCAACCCATGTCTGGCTTTCCCAGTCCCTTGAAGGGATCACTGGGAGAGATAACATTTCTATTTTGTTCATTACTGTATTCCCACTGTCCAGCACAGCTATTCATCCAAGGAGCACATGACCTATATGTGGTTTTTGAGAGAATTAATTAATGGAATGATTAATTATCTTTGTTGGGCCACCATTTGCCTTGCGCCTAAATGGTTCTGTGTTCAAAACCAAAACAATGTCAAATGCAAAAACAGGGGCCGGGCGCGGTGGCTCAAGCCTGTAATCCCAGCACTTTGGGAGGCCGAGGCGGGTGGATCACGAGGTTAAGAGATCGAGACCATCCTGGTCAACACGGTGAAACCCCATCTCTACTAAAAATACAAAAAATTAGCTGGGCATGGTGGCTCGTGCCTGTAATCCCAGCTACTCAGGAGGCTGAGGCAGGAGAATTGCCTGAACCCAGGAGGCGGAGGTTGCGGTGAGCCGAGATTGCGCCATTGCACTCCAGCCTGGGTAACAAGAGCGAAACTCCGTCTCAAAAAAAAAAAAAATGTAAAAACAGGGACCAGAACCACACAGGAGGCCCCTCTATGAAATGCGCAGGAAGAAGAAAGCCAGTAGAGAGGCGTCCCAGACCAGAAGGCTTCAAGGAGGAGAGGGGGAAGGTGGGAAAGAGGTAGAGGGAGAGAAGGAGAATTCCAAGCCCCTGCTGTCTAAACACCTCTCTGGGTTTTGCAATCAATAAATAGGTATTGAGTATAATCCTGATTCTCAGGGGCACTTGGATTCCTTGGGTGTAAGACAGTATGCCAGGGATACAAAAGATGGGATACAAT